CGAAATCTGTATTATATATCATAATTATATATCGATATATATGCCTCATATTCTTTCCACTGTTTTAGCGCTCTGCATAAAATTAATTAAGTTTGCGAACATAAATTCAATTATAACTTATGGGAATAATATATTACAGTGGAAAGTGTAATGTTTCTAAATAGGATGAAGATATATATCTGTATTTCGGTTCATGTTCAATTTTTGCCTCATTTAACGCAGCTATTTAATATTCATATTCGTTGGAGAATTCGCGAATCGTCGTGGATCGAATGAACGTAATCCTACTCGATTAGATGAATCGTCGGGAGATGGAAATACGTTTCCGCGAAAGCGAAAGCTTGCGATTTCATCCCCAGCTCTGCCACGTAATTCTCCCTTCTCGAATAGTATAATCTGCACTAATCGCGATGCCGATTTGGACTCGCCGCTTTCTAATGCCGAGCATCTCTGCACAACAAGTTTTTGTCTTTATATATACAATACAATAATTGTAAAACAAATTATACATGCTATATATGTATATTTTAATGTATTATCTTGATGGGTATTCACACACATGTCGGAGGAATTCATTTACGTAACTTTTGGATAAGGATCCGAGGGTGCTTTATCCTGCGATCAATGCTTTCCAAGAAATACTTTAATAACTTATAATTATCTTCGCGTTTTTATTTTAACTTTAATTGTCTATTAATTTTAGAATTAAATAATTGTAGTATATGATGAAACATGAATAATTATAATTTTCCGTAATAATTGCGCAAGTCAGTACATTTCAGGAAAAATATAATATGCACAAATTATTCTGACGTAAAAATATTAAATTTTAATTTTTGTAAATATATAGGAGAAAATATTCTAAAAAGCCGGTTGAGAATGATATATACACTTTTATGAAACTGTTTCTATTTCTTCAAGGAAATGTGATTTTTACGCTTTCGCTAGACGCGCATTTCATTTTACGCGTATTTTACAATTTAACAATGGCGATCTTCTTTCGGTGGATTTTTGCAATTTGTATTTGTAATGGTATAGAAATCAGGAAGTAATATTTTCAATTTGTGAGGGCAGAGAGCGGCGGAATAAATCGCGTGAGAAACGAAACGCCTCCGAAAGTCGAAAGAGCGACGTCGCGTATTCGAGACAAACGATTCTTTTTAAATTGTCATAACAGTAATGTTTTCCTCTAACGATATTTCTCCTCGAGCGACAGAGGCACCTTTCACCTTTGCACGCGCATAAAATTCACGAGATCCACGAGAATTCCGCGACGATGATGCATATCGCGGGTTCGCAGAGGGTGAAAGTGGCCGATTAAGTTTGTTTTCTTTGCGATTAGGATGCTGTCTCACGTGTGTAATGATCGTTTGATGAGAGGAACGAAGATGACAAAATTGGCCCGCAAAAATCGACGCGAAAAGTCGACTCGTGTCTTTTTTCTTTTTCTGACCGAATCGCGTCGATACTTTTTCAATGACTTTCCTTATATTTCCGAGACCCGAGAATGAAATGTGAAAGAAAGCGAAGGTGAACCCTGGCCCACTTAAAACTTTTACCTGAAAGTTCCTTCTCGGGTTTCTTCTGGTTAAGAAATTTGGAACACGGAAAAGGAAAGGGTATTTGTTCGTGATCCAAACAGGTTTTTTTTGGAGTAAATAAGTAACGAAATTAACCACGTGCATTTTAGGTATGTATTCAGTAATGGAAAACATTAGCATATGTAGCATGGTTTATATAATATTGCGATATTGCGATATCGTAAATATACGTAATACTTATCTGTGTAATATATATAGGTTTTTCTTTTATTATGATATTTCTCGAGTACTCTTGAACGATATGATGTTTGCAGAAAGAAATAATTTATATAAAAATTAATAATACATAATCTTTGGTTAGATCAAATGAAACACATATGTAACCAGACTATGTTTTCAAAGTTGCATTTCAGTTACGTTATGCTCTCAAACGAGGATAAAACTAATAAAATTTTGAAATTTTTAATTGCGACCTAAGATAATAAAATGTTTAATGTTTTCAAGAAGATATAAAAGATATTCTTTTCGCGATATTTTTTACGTAAAATTGCTACGTATTTTTCAATTGAGCTCTGTTTCGGATAAAAATCTACAGATGGATGTAAAATATATTACTCTGTAGGATGGAGATTAATTTTTTTGAAAAATGAAACAGAAAATCTTTAGAAAAAATTTTATAAAAAAAATAATTATATTTCCACACGTTCAATGCGCGTTTATAGAATACGCGAAAAGTTGATATTGATATTGACCAAGAAAAATGAAGGATGGGATTCACCTGGCGTAATTTTTTTTATGAAGCCGGCACGTTTGATCGGCTCTTTGTCGTGTCGCTAAAAGTGAAACTTCCGCGAAATCACTAAAGCAGACAAACCAGGAAGGGTAATGAAGGAGGGTACTGAAAAGCAATTGTTTGTAAGGATGTTCCCGACAGGTTTGTTAACGTCGACTTTGTCGCGAGTACCCTTTCTTTCTTCGACCGAAGTGTGAACCGGATGACATCGATAAAGTGTCTTCGAGTTATCAGTTAATCTTAAAAATGTCAACGAATTTTTCACAAATTCAAAATCGATACTTACTCGAGAAAAGTCACGAAGTAAAAATTGTCACTTGACAACTTTCTATATACAATGGTTTAAGATTTAAGCATCGTGTTTTTTATTGAATCTCTGATTAAAAAATATCTCATGATTAAAGTCCGACAATAAATGACGTCTCATTGATGAAAATTTTTAATAGAAAAATTGAATAGTAAATAGAAAAAATGTTAAATAGAAAAAAAAATGAATTACAGCTTTTGATCTCGAGAAATCAAGTCTTGATTCGATCTGTCATTAAACTAAGGATAGATGACTCCACATCCTTGCGGATGTAAATTTGTTTCTACGATCGTGATGCAATTGAAAGGGATCGTTTGAATAACTCACATCTTACTCGAATGATTTAGCACAATTATCTCGCGATGCAATGTAATGTAGAAAGCTGCATGAGAGAGAAAGTTGCAATGCATAGATAGGAAGTTACATACGTATACGTGGCGCGTATAAAATTATTCCGTACAAAATGCAGAATACGACATAATCAGATCAAGAATCAAATATCTATTCCTAGTATAACGTAATTGATTATGTAAAGGAATATCGTAGGTGTGTTAAAAAAGACATATTTACAACATGAAGAAAGAGAAACAATTATGTAATGAATGCCTCGAAAGAAACAGAAATGATATTTATATCGAATTATAATTCTTAGAACACCGTTGTCTTTATATAACTTAAATTGTAGCTTTGTTTTAAATTATTCGCTCGAAAGCACAAGTTTTTCAATGGTAATTTTTTTCTTCGCATTTTCTTCGCATTGTGAATTTTCGTTGTTGCCGTACAATGACTCATGTTATCATATTGTATGACTTTGCAATCTCTACTTTATCTTTATGCCTTTCTTAGCCATATTGTCGTATAATAATGACTTTGCAACCTCTATTTTATCTTTATTCTTCCTTGGCCATTGCAGAATAAAAATGCGAAGTAAAAAGTCAATATATAATATCGTGAAAAAAGAATATCGATGATGTATACTTATTATCTTTTCTTTAATTTTTTAATTGGAATAAAGTATTAAATGCACGTTAAAAACAACTTTTATACAAGGCAAGTCATTTGTTCCACGAAGGGCATCCTTGTCATTGCAGGTATAAAATGAGAATTTTATACGTGGGACAGGTTGTTTGCCTTGTAAGAAGTAAGAAAGTGTTTTCACTGTATGCAGCAACTTCATTATGATAAAAAGATATCATTATAATAAAAAGGATAACCACACGAAGGTTCTTGCTCCGAGCTCTTTATTTTTCTTCCGTGTATTTATATTTCAGATGAGACCAAAGAATATAAAAGCAGAAATTGCAAAGTTATTATGTGACAATATGATTGAATACGTGATTAAATACGATTGAAGACTTTGAATGACTTTGAATAATCTTTAAAATGGTGAAGCTTATTACATAAACAGAGACCTAGAAAGTGTATAATTCAATATAATCAATATCTCCTATCTCTCGAGGCGCTCATTAGCTATGATCGTATTCCACTAGCAAGTAACCCGTTGAGGCTTCTTTCGTTCGAAACATCAAAAAAACTTTGATGTTATAAATTAATTTAAATTAATAATTTATTCATTTTAAATTAATCCACAGTTTATTGAAATTAAATATAATTTATATTAATTATTAATTACGAAGAAAATATTATTTTAGAAAATTAAGATGATTAGGGAAATATATTAATAAGCGATATTATTTTATTTCCGAAATTCGCGAAATAAATTCGCTTTAAATCAGGCAATGAAAATTTTGTCGAAATTTTACAAGTAATCTTTAAAAAATGTATAATAAGAAGTTTCGAAAACAATTATGATTTATACTTTACTGTTGTTATTAATGCTGCGGTTGTTGTGGCTAAACTTTCTTCTATTGATATAACAAATTTTTGCTTACAGTGTGTATAACAATTTCATAATATAGATATAAGAAGAAGAAAAGAAATATAAACATGATGATTTTACATCTAAATAAGTTTTTCGCATTTCATAATATAAAACTTTAAGAATCATAAATTATTTAATAATTTAATTACTTTTAAAATAAATTACTCAAGACTAATAAATTAGTATAATAAAAAATTATTGCAGAAACAATTTATATAATTTCCTTACATAATAAAATTCTTCAATATCTTTTAAATATAACTATTAAATATATTCTAACTTATATAACACACATATATTATTTATGGATTTTGATTCGAAATTTTACATTTTTAGATAAATAATTTATTAACAAATAAAATATATTTTTGAATTTATATAAATAGAGAAAATTAATAGAATTTTATAAATTAAAATTAGAATTCAGAATTTTTTGCTCCAAAATAGACAGATTGAATAATGAAGCTTAAATCTTACCTTTAAGAGCCCACAGTTCTTCATTCTTCAGAGCCTCGATGTACGTCGTAATGTCTTTGCCGCATTGCTCCCCGACAGGGTATTTTCCTTCGGCCCAATTTCTTACTAAATTACGCGCACTGAAAACGTCCAGCGTTTCCGACAGGCTGGTCCAATTCTTCGTGACCACGTCGGTCGTCGTTGGCAAGCTTCGTACTCGGAGAACCGATTCTTCCGCGTTATCGTTTGGTGTACCTGTAGATCTCTCTTCGGCATAGATCGCGGACACTATAAGCAAAGTGGCAATTAGCAAACGCATAGTACTCCTCATGTTTATCTCGTAAATTGTTCGCAGGTATAAGCGATGGGGCGCACGTTTAGAAAGAAAATTCGCGCGAGATCACACTAATCGCGAATCTTCAGCATCGTCGTCGAAACCAGACGGCAGGATCTTCGTGATTGATTGTTGAAAAAAAAAATAATTCCTCTTCCGGTGTCGATCTTCGTTAAAAAAAAAATAGACGAACGTATATCACTGAATATTTGAAAAGTCTACGAACAAATCAAGTATTGATCCTTTGTCAGGATGCACGTGACATTGTCAGGAGGGAATGTCACAGGATATGCCTCACTTGTTTCCGCACTCGGACAACTGGACCTCGATTGATCACGATCGATGCGATTTATGTAACGAGATTATGTCAGTCTTTGAACTTCCATTTCCGTAATTGTCGGAAGATCCTGATAATGCGATCTTCTCATGGCGACACGTCGACACGTTCGGTTTGTCGCATCTGTCTTCGACAACAGAGGACAAATAATATAGAAAAAGAGAAGTACAATAGGGGTTTCTCGGGTGAACTCTTCTTTCTTGCTGAATGATCACGAATCAACTGTACGGGTGGATTGTAGTCCGACCAATGCTTCTTGAATGTTTCGCGGTACCATAATGAAAGGAATGGTGGGGCCGAGTCTCCCTGTGGAGTGAAAACCAACAACCTTTAGACTGCGCGCAAGGCAGCTCGAATTCATTGACACATGTGTCCGCGAACGCTTCGGACGTTTATAATCACAAGGACAGAAAGAAAGAATGTTTTTTTACATTATTTTTTAATTAATTAATTTTTAATTATTTTAATTCTACATTATTTTAATCCTACACTGGAAAAAAAATTTTGTTGGATTAACAAAAATTCTGTTCAAAAATGGACGAAACGGAATTACTAGTTGAATCTACCAGAATTCCTTTTAATGCAACAAGAATCTACCAGAATTCCTTTTAATGTAACAAGCATCTTGTTTGTACAACAAATCAGTTTGTTGGTGCAAACAAGATATTTGTTGTATTAAAAGGAATTCTGGTAGATTCAACCAGAATTCCGTTTCGTCCATTTTCGAACAGAATTTTTGTTAATCCAACAAAATTTTTTTTCAGTGTACAATTTCTTTTCCTTGAAACAATTAGACAAAGAGTACACTGAAAAAATTGTTAACTTCACTAAATTACACTATTTTGTTAATTGAACATATATTAGTATGTAAGTCAAATATACGTTTTGTTAAATTTAATTTAAATATTTTTTTATGTTCAATTAACAAAGGAATATTTAGTTGAACGATCAAATTACTAACTTTTTTTCAATGTATATAGCTGTTGCTGCATAAGAATTTCGTTTGACAAGTACATAAACTTTTTAGTAAAAAAAAATCAATGTTTGTAAAAGAATCTGCCATTAAAATTTCCAGTCTTACGTTCGAGACATTTGTATATATACACAGAATTTAATTCGAATTTATCGGTAAAATTCTGAAGAAGTTGGCATCAATTTTCTAGAATAATTTTTTACACGAAAAAGCGGTATACTTTATTCCTTATACAAACATTTCAAACGAGACGTATAAAAATCGACCGCCTCGCTTTAAAAATTTTCACTCGGAAAGGAATTAATTAAAAATTTATGATATATTCGAGAATGTAAACATTAATGATATTCGTGGAATTGCGCATCATTACTATCGCGTTTAAATACATTACGCAATTGCAATTCCGGTTTCGCATTTAGCATCATTTAGCGTAGAAAGAAATGCCTGTCCTTTTTTGGCTGGTGGACCACGGAGTGTCACGTGTCGACAAGATAAAAAATAAAAATATTTGACAGAAAAGATGTCTCTTTTCGACAGCGATTTTTTGTCAAGCCCCGCAGGCGAAATAAACGGAGAAGCGAAAGCTCCGTTATTTTAATATATTTTTAATATATTCAAATTTAATATATCAAGTGCGCGAAATATTACTCTTCCTTCAGGATGCGACGATCGAGCATAGGATTATGCTGTTTCGAGTAATGAATTACAAAACTTTCAGCGTCGCTTCGCATGAGTTCGTGCCAGATTAACGACGGAGACTAGAAGAAGTTTCACCGTGAAATTTCATACTATTAGAGGAAGTTTCTCTCTCTTTATTTCTTTTTCTCTTTCTCTCTTTCTTACCAATTCCTTTGACAGACTATCATTGGATGTTCGCTCATGCTGAAAATTCTTTCTTCTCTTACGGGGTTCCTCGCGAGAATGACTTGCTAATCGAGAGACGCGCAATAGTCGCGTAAGCGAACGAAAAAGCAATGTCGAAGATTTGCATCGAAAAAAAAAAAATAACCATTGACAGAGATTTCATAAATTTTGATGAATTGGAGAACGCGCAGGTTGCTTCTCTTCCGCAAGAAAAGGCGAAAAGTTTTATGCAATTTGATGCTCCATTAACATAATTATTACGAAAACCACATTTCGATAGTATAACCTTTTGCGCGACAGCTATTTTTTCGCAATTTTTCAGTCATACTTTTTGTACGGAATTTACATATTTTATATCAGGTTACATATAAATATTTCAAAACTTTTGTAAAAATTGTGGAATAACTTATGGAAGATATTATTTTTCACGTTTAGATTTTTAGATTTTATTTACATTGATACATTGATACATTGATACATTTTTATATCAGGGCATAAGTTGGATAGGGAAATATTATAATTTTCACAAATGTATATTTGTCATCGTGTAATGAGATTAGACACGTATATCTTACTTGATTACCGAATACCGATCGACAATCACGTAATGACACAGTATTTCCGCATAAAAGAAAGTGAAACTAATAGAAACTGTGAAATGATTTCTTCGGAATCTGAATCGCCAAAGACACTAATCGTGAATGTTAGGATTACGCGATGACATGAACAAAAAATGTTTACAATGCTTCACAAAAATATTATATGATTTCTCACACCTTGATTAAGTTACACATTCCTTGTGCATTTAATTTAAATTGTCATAAAGTAATTTCTATATTTGCAGTATACCATAATAAAAAACTTATACCTCAAATATTGAAATACAAATCATGCAAAGCATTTTTCACATTTTTAGAAACACATAAATATTTATTTATAATATTTCACGTAAATATTAATTTGATTACATTAAATATATTATAATTAAAAACATATACTTGAAATATTAGAATATGAATCATGCAAAGCATTTTTCAGAAACACATAAATATTTGTTTATCTTACACGCAAGGCTTTTCTTACTTATTTAATATAATTTAATTTCCATTCTCTCATGGGATGAACTATCCTCAATAAGGACACCACTGGTGCTTCGAAACATAAGGAGAGAAATAGCGATGCAGCATATGTTGCCACCAAAGTTCCGAAAAACATAAATGCCTGTAAAATATATCGATATTAGTTAAAAAATCTATAAACAAGAGAAATTGTTAATATTATATAAAAGATACTATTTATATGTTTGAAATTACATTGACTAAATTTTAAAAATTATTTCTTTGATGTTTTAGATGACGTGAAATTAATCTAAATTTTATTCGTTTTTCTATGCCAAATTTATGTTAATAAAACACATAATTCTTTAAATTAAATTATATTGAATTATACGAAAATATAAACACTTTTATTAAAAAACACATCTCTTATGAAAAAAAAACCAGTAAGATATTACACGCTAAATTAACTTTGAAAAGTATTGAACTTTCCTTTTTACTTTCATCAGCGCATATGAGTCGAAATCTAGCGGCATATATGGAAACATATAAGCCGATTTTACATAGATCGGTAATGAAATCAACTGTATTTTACATCCAGAATTAACATTTTGTTAACTTATTATTTTTTGACAATTTGTTATTTATTAAATTATTTATTTCGTAGAGAATTTACTTTGCATTTAGTTTGCATTAAGTACAAGATTTAATATAGAATTTGAAAATAATGATATATTTATATTTATTATAAATGTCAAGTAAATTAGAAATTTGATACGTCGAATAATATTTATTATCTAACGCAACTGTCATAATGTGTGTGTGATCGTTTTATTTTTGAATAAACCGTATATATCCTCTTTTACATCAATCGATTTTGCTGATATAAAAGATTTCTGCATCGATTCGAGTCATAGTTTTATAATAAGTAAGATACCAATCGAGTATTATTTTAATATTTTGATTACACTTTTTTAAATTTAAAATATTATTTTGTTAAAAAAAATTGCACATAAATTTTATTAAGAAATATATATTCTTTATCAGCCATATGATTTTGACTTATTGTTAGTTTGTATGTTATTTTGAAATATTTTATTCCAATTGATAACTTTCTCTTCTATAAAAAAAGTGTATACATTCGAATACTTATAAATATTAAATATTTTTTTATATTGATAAAATTTTAAATTTAAAGATATATTATGTCGAAATAGTATACTCGTATATCTTTATAATAAAATAGGAAAATTACCACAAAACCATGTGTAAGATGCCATGAACTTTCACCCTGCAGAATCATAGCGCGCAAAAGTGCAGGATGCACTAAATAAGCGCAATATGTTAATCTAGAAATAGGATATAGATACTTCCACGATAGTATATGGTTTGCTATACCTAAAAAAATCGAAAAAATTATCTTTTATAAAATTTGGTATATTTAAAATAAGAGCTTTTGAAATAGTATATATTTATATAAAATATTTTACAAAAATTCTATATAATTTTTTATACACGCACGTACCTAATGCTCAGATCGTTTTTATATTTATCATGAGAAAAAAAAATCGTTTAATATTTGTACATATTTTTAAATTAAAGAATATGCCAGAATTTTTACATACTGTTTCTAAGCCAGAAAAAGTGCGTCTTAAACGACACACAAGTTATATACTTTTAGTATTATTGCAAAATAAAATATTTTGCAGAACCAATTTAAAATTGTTTAAATATGCAAAATTGTTTTACAAAAAAATATCTATAGCTACATTAAATATCTTCAATATTACTTTTCGAATTCCACGAATTCCATATAAACTCCCGTAAGTTAAGATTATCGCTCTATTTATTGTATATATTATACATATATAATATTTACCGCCATTTCCGGTGACGCAGGCGATCAAAATCCATGCTAGACACATTGCCCATCCGGAATGTGATAATGCCGTATACAATGCGGATAATGTCGGTCCAAATGTAGTTCCGTGTAATCCATATACTATACTGAACATCGTGATGCAAGAAACAAACCAGCCAATTGCAATCACAATCTATAATTATGAGGATCAGTAAATCATTTGCGTGTTGCTATTATTATAACGAGCTAACGAGATAACGAGTTATCAATATTTCTATGATTGTAGATTGTACGTGTCAATCGTATAATCTAATAATAAGTTATGTGTACACTTTTCTAACGTATCGGGTTTATATGTAATCACTTATGTAAAAAGCATTCTTCTAGACACACCCGACATCTTGTTCAATAATATTTTTGCATTTTATTTAGATTATGAGTTTTGATGACAAATATGAAATTGAGTATAAAATGTATATATCAGTTATAAATTAGCAAAGTCGTTGACCTTAAATAGCTAAATAATTTATGTAGAACGTACTTATGTATGTGAAATATAATTATCATGAGAAGAGAAGAATTCAAAAAAATCTTTTCGTGTGATTTTGTATTGAAAAAAATATTCGAAAAAGATTATTTAAACATTTATGAGAGAGGCTATTTGAATATATTTACTTAAAAAATTTTATAAATAAATATTACATTAATTATATGAAAGATAACTATCAATCTAATAAGATGAAATAAATAATGCAAATCGATCAAAGTTTAGCAAAAATATATGTTATAATTATATATTATAATATATATTATAATTATATATATTATTATATATTATAATTATACATTAAATTATATAATTATATTATATAATTATTATTGATGTCCCATGAATATTTCTACAATAGAGTTTTCGCGAATATCTTCTCTGTAAATTCCACATGAAAAGATAAATTTAGAAAAATAGGTAATATTGGATTAAGAATAGAAAATAGTATTTGTTTAATACGGCAAATCTAAAATGATAACGAGTAGCTTGCGATTCGAATTGCGATCCACAAGAGAGGATTGCTTACTTTATTCATATTCGCCTTGCAGTCAATCTTGAAGAGATACCAGCCGGTGGCCATCCCTACGAGATAAGGTCCCATTCGCAACCAAGGTTTGTCGTAGAGATTCTCGTAGTGTTCGAACGGATCGATGACACTAAAAATACATTTTTTACTTAATTTTTGTGCAATTTTTTGTACTCGATGCACTCTTCCAAGAACAAGGATACATAATTGATGTACGAAACACTTTTAGCGAAGAGCTGCGAATATCTAAATATGCCTTCCTTACCTTGGTACGTATTTGATGTTTAAAGTAATTATCGCTGTCGTAATCCACGAGGTGATTAAAAAGAAAGCTCCGATAAACATCGCTGCCGGTAGAAAGCTGTGTAGAAAAATCGATTAGGTAACGCCGTACGTAAGTGCCATTCGGATTTATATCATCTATTTTCCGTTTATGTTTCATTCCTACTCTCTCTCTTACCTTGCTCCGATTATCAAAATAATTATTCCAATAGTGTAGAACTGCGTGTCGTTTGCCAGATACCAGCTCCAAACCATGCACTACGGATTAGGAGATCAATATTTGATTTATCGGTAGAATATTAATTCTAAAAAAATAGATGATATATGCTACTTTACGCATGCGCGAACACATAATGTTATAAATATACAAATTAAATCTAATATGTAACTTATGGTTACATATTCGACTTTCAGTCAGATTGAAACAATTTTAATGAGAAAGTAATAAATATTATAAATGTTATACAATTCTTTCTAAACACATGGAAAGCTTTGATGAATTTAAAATATAACTTTTAAAATGTTTAAATAGTTACAATTTTATATTTAAAATATAAATATAATTAAAATATAATTTTTTGTGAACTCTTATTCATCTGCTCATGTTCTGCATCTGTCACTTTTGCTGTATTAAAATAATTTGTTTCAAGCATGTACTTTTTTCTTTTTTTTTTAATTTTTTAATATAAATAGCTCTCGATTGAAAGTCATATATGGTACAAATTTATTCTTAAACTAACCGCGATAATTGATAACATTATGCACTCGATTTATACTATAAATTATGCGAGGATGTGCTTACTCGGTCGTCCATGTCGAAATAAGTATTTATGTACAAGGCGTGTCGCCACCAAAATTTCTCGCACGTTTTATAATCCATCGCAGGAAATTCGATCACGGAATGATCGTGATACCATTTCATCGACACCTGAATCAGACCGATTACTAAAAGGTAAATTGGGGTCAGGCGAAAGTATCTGTACCACATCATTGCCAAAAATTGCAGGAGTTGACCGCGACATCCCTTTATTATACTTTTCTCCTTTATTCTTTTATTTGTCATGGTACGATAATAGAGGAACGCTACCAAGCATCCGCTTAAAAATAGAGATTCATCATTTTTTTAGAGATTCATCCTTATTTCGATATTTCATACACTATATTACATGCATGATCCATATGATGCATTATATCATTAATAATATATTTAAAATTTATATAAATTTAATAATCAAAATTTTTTAAATTAATATTATTAATAATATATTATTAAAAAAATATATATTAAGATATTTAAAACGTTATATTTTAATTTTATAAAATTATTCAACTCCCTGCTCTCTCATTCTACTATGAAACAAATAATTAACTGTGCGGTTAATAATTAATTAAATGTACCTGAGGAAGAAAAATGTATCTACGGAATATGTACCATTGCCGATGGTCTGATAGAAAAAGTCACTTTCCGCCACATTTCGATACATTTTACTGTCTGGAAAAAATAATAATATGTTAAGACAAACACGTACGTAATAAATGAGTATCTTCACGCGTCGTTAATTACCTGAAATTTCGTTAGCTAGTAAACACGTGTGTACTAGAATTATCCAGAGCATCGTGTAAAATTTTAATCCGTGTATCGGCGCTAAAGTATCCGCGCCGACATCTAAACTACAGACTTTAGATATATTTAAAAGTAGACTGAAAGACAGCAGCGCTTCCGACAAAGGTTTCGGCACAACTTCTGGATTGCGAACGTCTAAAAATTCGGACATACGTTTATCATCGATTTTCCACCGCGAATTACGTATCCATTCATCGATCATTGATTCGCCATTAAAATTCATAAAGCAAGATTTTGTAAAATTTATAAGTTTTTTGTGCAATTTATACATAAATTTGTGTTATTTTTACTCTTTCATCATGGAAAAATTAAAAGCAAAGAACGATATAAATTATTTTCGACGAAATACCCAAGGAACCGTTGTGCTTCGTCATAGTCCACAATTTCGAGATTGTAATTTGGCAATCGTAGTTTTCATCCGATTTCAGGGATTTCGATTGCGTCATGATTGTAATATTGTTATTATTTTTTTTAATTGCTCTGCGCAAGATCTTATAACGCAGTAAAATATCGTAAGAAGTGCCCATAAATATGAGTACAAATACAACTGCGAAAGAAATTCTGGAACACATGTATTTCTATAAAGACTTAACTCGAAAACTTATTCAATTATAATTTTAATAATGCAATATTTTGTGTATAAATGTATACACAAAGTATATTGTTTTCAATATAATAAGTTATATTACTTTCTGTCAAGTAAGTTCTATTACGTCAAAATATGATAATCTACACTATAAAAAATATGTAATATATTACATAAAAATGTGTAAAATTATATAAATTATAAATGTAAAATTACACGATAAATAAATGTATGCAATTTCATTATTTATCATGTTACACTTATATTTATATGATTTTACATATTTTTATGTAATTTTATATAATTTTTTTACAGTGTATACACAGTATTACAGTGTAACACTTACAATAAAATGTAGAATGTCGTATCCTCCCAAAATGAATATCCTTTCGAAAGATTTCGTATGTGATCGATGGTAATTCTGAATGGTAAATTGATGCTGGATTGATTTTGTACGAAATACAAAAGTCTCTCAATATCCTGCGTGTTGCACATAATTGGCATGCATAATGCAAGTGTCATATCGTAAGTCTGAAAAATAAAAGTACAATTGGTTTACTTGACACAATAGAAAGATATATTTTTTTTTATTTATACAAAATAAATTATAAAAAAATTCTTAGAATTTCTAATTTTGTTTGTCTTTTTGATCGGTTCTTATTTTAACTATAATTTTGCTCATTTAACTTTTTACTTTTACGAATGTGTGCATTTTCATGAGAATAGTACATTTAAAAATTTTTTTTTTAATTACAAGAAGCAATATAATCATATATATCAAAACTTCTAAAAGTTTATTATATTTAAAAAAATGCATTAATGTGACAGATTTATATATCATGTAATATGATCTCATTAATATAACATAATACTATTAATGTAACTAACAACGCGTATCCTTCTGGGAAATACTTTTATCGGCGAAAGTAACGATATCGAAAAAATATTATATAATTCTATTCTATTGCACAACATCTTAACTGTTGCATCATATTTTTTCGAGAATTATGATGATTATCTGATAATATGAATCTGTATTGTTTGGTTTTATTTACGTTTAATTCATATTATTCAACAGATGACGCAAATAAAATACGGAGTACAGATTATTAAAATTATTATTATTATTATTATCAAAATTATTGAAATAATTTAAATTATATTAGATTATCAAAATTGCTAGGCTATTACACCGATTACCTCATTTAGTCCAGGTTTCAGAATGTCAAGCATAAAATTAATAGAGTTCACACTGACGCGGAAGGGTGGCAATTCTTCGCTTTGTTGAAGTCTCTCATTCTGTTGCCACTCCACAAATTCATTTTCCAGTTTGCGACATTGATCTGCATTTCCCATCCAACGTCTATTACCCGAAAATGTACCCCATGTGTATTTGCCATCCGCGTCCATCACTAAAAAAAAGAGAAGGGAATACAAAAAGTTACCGATTTGTAAAAAAAAAAGACAAATAATAAATTATGCAAATTAAAGAATATATTTTTAAAAACTATATTTAAAGTATTTATTAAAATTACTTATTTTAAATGTGCTATCTATTAAAATTACTTAACACATTAAATACGTAATCTAGCTATTAAAAAAAATATTTGCGGTGTGAGTCAGTTATCACGTATAATTCATTGCACTTTTATCACAAGAATCATTATGTACATGTATACAATAGTTTAGTCAATAACATCCTTTTATGATGTATTAATCGTTTACTGCGTTTTAGACTTTGAAATTGTTTATCCTATACATATATTAATCTATAGCATCTACTTGAAAGGAAGTTATTCAACCTAGAACTTAATCCAGTATATACATATATGTATATATTACGGCATGTTCAAGCGCGAGTTGATCTTGTTGCTTCTATCTCGCCAGACTACTTTCACCCTTTCTACAGGAAATATATTAGACCTCATCTCTCATTTTACTTACATTCTAAGTACGGTTGTATATGTTTCGAGAAGATCATTAATATCAATGTTTCGGAACAAGCGACTACTAAAGATAAGCTTTCGCGCTTAATTCCAGAATGCTTTATTCCACGAATTTTCTCGACTTTACAAATACGTTTTGCAAAAGTGTAGAAAGATTTTTATTTATCCTTTATATATAAATTTGGCACAATTTGTTATATTTGAAATGGAAATTAAACCCACTAACGCGCAACCAAAAATTTAAAAATAGAGAAAATAACATTGATCGATTTATTTATTTATTTTTTTTTTTTTTGCAAACATACTCACTTTTGCAAACATTGAAGAAGAAGAAAAATTAAATCGTAATTTATATGCATTTGTAACTGTGATTTGTATGTAATAACATAATTAACGTAGAGTGAGCGATACGGTTGAAGACGTTAGATACGCTTCAGAAGAAAGCGTTTTTCCTCTTTATGCTGCTTTATGTAATGTACATATATAATATCTATTATGTGTGATACATAATACGGATAAATATGTTATCCGGATTATGTCATGAAATATTTAATATTCCTACACACATAACATGGCTTTCTAACTATTTGATTTTATTATTAATAATATAGACTTCCTTATTCTTTTATAATACGGATAATATTAACAACTTGGTGATATAAATCGTAGAATAATTTGATAACGTCTATTATAATAAGAATCAGATAAAGTTAATAATAGTTATTATATTATTAATTATTTTTTATATAACTTATAGATGATTCTATCGAATCGTATGACAAAGTATGACATATTATAAATATGATAATCGATCAACATTCCTCTGTAACATTTGAAGAGAACATTGTTCGGATATTATAACATGACATTGGAATGAAAGTAATATTTATTTACAAATGATGCGTGCATTTGAAAAAGTATCAATAACTTTTTGCTTCAATAGCAACCACTGGGAACTCCCTCAGGGATTAATAAATGGCAATAATGACAGGTGATTGAAATATCAATTAGCGTTTTCAGCTATATTGGAAAGTATGGAAATGCACCATTTATTCGCGTTTATAAAAAAATAAATAACTTCTCGTAAAATAATGAATACTTAAGATTAATATAATCTTATTGTCAGAGGAAGCCATTGTGTACAGCAAATAATGAAAAGAGATCTTTAATCAATCTCTTTAATCATACATTATGAATGGTGACAAATTATCGAATATAACTGCAATTTACTTCAATGCCGTAATCGTCTATAATGTGCACATATAAATTATCGAATATAATTGCAAACTGCTTCATTGTTGCAATATTTCTAACGTGCAATCTTCTCTTTCAAACTACAATTTTTTCGGTTTGCAGTTTGTGATTCTTAATAATAAAGTTGTCAAGAGAATAATTTCTGCGTTTGGCTCTTCTTAACCCTTTATTTCCTACTTAAATTTTTTATAAATTTCTGATACTTCTGTGAAAAATGCATTTGCAATGGATAATAAGACGGATAACTTTGTTATTAAGAATCACAAACCAAAAAAAGTTTTGGAGAAGATTGCAGGTTGAGAAAGATTGAGACATTGAAGTTTCCTATCTGAATCTTGTACATATTTATACATTAGAGCCTTTTTATTGTATTTTAGAAATTTATAATTTTCTCTTTTTCATTGTTCCTTTCTTTTTTACAAACTGGTTTATATCAAATAATAATTATATATGTTAACAATTTTGTCATCTATAAATCTATATATTTTGCAAAATTTTTCTTTTTCTTTTTCTTTGCTCTAAAATTTTTTTATTGTTTAGAATTAAATTAACTTTTTGCGACATACTTCACAAACTTCAACTCTTTTATATCTCTTCCCTTATTCATGTAATGAAATGTATATACGCTAAATCTTATAAAATTTAATTATCAGGTTTATTTTTTTATAGATTTACTTTTTAGCACTTATGTTTGTCTCGTAAAACGAGAAAGAAAGAAAGAAAATTAATTTTAACTGACAAAAATTATTTTAAGAATTAAAATAATAGATCTTACTTTAGGAACTCTAATTACAAACTGTCGCATCTCTATAAATATTATGTCACATTTTTTAAAAGCTGCACTTACTTTTCAGAGCCCAATTTGCTTTTCTCGATATGCCCATCATGTAATGTGTCAAATCTTCATTACACGGTAACGAAATGCCTGCATCTCGGTACGTCTCGTTCTTCCAGGTTCGCGAGGTAGTAATTGGATTCCAGATTTCCAACAATTGATCAACATCCCAAAATTCATTCTTGACATTCTTGTCACTTGTCGTGTTGATCGATGAAAGCTTGGATTCGTCCTTATCTTGAGTAAACTGTTTCGTAAAATTCTGCCATATTTTCATTATACTATTTTCATACACAATAGATTCTTCCACCGACTCCAGATCTTGCAAAGGTAATGGTTTTAATATGGTTTCACTCACGTTGGAAGATGTTACCAATCGATGCAATAATAACAGATACAATAAAATTCCGTAGTACAACATTTTCACAAAAATATGTTCCATTAAAGAAACATCAAAATTGCTTTCGTTAAATCAACAATAAACAATTATCACAGTAACTTCAAATATATCACAAATTTTTCGAAATATTTAAAATAAATCCGAAAAAATATATTAGGTTACATGTAGAAATAAAAAAAAATAAAAATTTAAACGATCTGCAAAATTGGATGTAATCTGCACGAGATATATTTTTTCGAAAATTTTATGTTTTGTTCCTTAAAATTTGTTGCATGTCCGAGTAAATATCAATGAACGAAGGCGTTAGTCGTACTGTGCATATACTTTCAAACGCCTGTTCAGATATATTCCAGGTCTCCCACTCTTAGGCATCTATCAACTTCGCGTATATGTATACGTCTATTCTTTAGAAGGTATATAACAAATTGTTATCGCATTAAAGCACGCATGTGCACGGAAGATGAATTCAGACGGTGCTTCAGGTTGCGTGAGTAATTTGTATTCGTCAACGATGTTTCTTCCGCGACAAGCGATATTTCTCTCCTCGAAAAAGATGCGTTTTTTCTAAATTGAAAGAAATAATAAGAGATTAATTTTCTATGAAATTAATTCTTTAAGTATTTTCGAATGTGGAATTAGTTTAGAAATTTTTGGATTCTTTTTTCTTTTCTTTTTTCGAATTTTTTTTATCTTCTTAAATTCTTATATTTATTATATTTGTTGATTTTTATTAATGAATTAATTATTTTTGTTTTATTTTTTAGATAATTTTTAATAAATAACTCTGGGTCATCCATCAATCGTACTTAAAAGAAATTGTTATAAAAAAAGCGTAAATGTATGAATTCTGATCTTTTAAATAAAATAAAATTAAAATTTTTAAATTTCTTATAATCTAAAAAATGCGCTTGTACCGCAAATATTTTGAATAATAATAATAATAATAATTATGATATAACAATCTTGATGTCTAATTATCGAACGTATTTATTAGATAAAGTAAACAAAAAAAAATACGAAAAGTTGAAAAAATTAATTTAATCCTATTTCAGAAAAAAAATTAAAATTCATCACTTTACGAATTTTCAAGCAATTTTTTTTAGTACTTCATCAATCTTTGCTCATTAAGTTTCACCAGCTTTACGGAAAAGACTAGTTCTAGTGTGCATTAGTTGTTAGAAATACTTCGACTTTCCTTTTTATTGCAAGGTGCGTTACATCTTGAGATCGTAACAGACTGCGCAAAAGTCAATTTAAAGTAGGAGATTATGTTACAATGCTAAAATAGAGATTGCTCACGTAGGTAAATGGGTAGGTAGCAATTTGTGTGTTTTGTGTGTAAATGTTTTATGGATCGTTGTTGACTTTCACACAACTCTCATAATGAAAATGATAAATTTTCTCGTGACGATAATTTTCTCGTCGCTTTCGACTATTATCAAATATTTTATACATGATTTCACAGAATAATAATACGTTCGATTAAACATATTATTCGTCTTTTCTTCTTTAAAAAATAATGTTCGCAATATTGGATTTAAAATATAAAATTTCTATTAAAAACTTTCCTCAAACATTTTTTTAATGCTGATAATTATTGCAGCGTAAACAAAAATATATAACAATATTATATAATTTATAGGTGCTCAGTTATTTAGCGCATATCATATTATTATGCTTAAATGATTAAATTTATATATACTCAATTTATATGTTTAAATCATTAGTCAAGTGGATAATATGTGCGTGATAATCCAATATGTAATAGAATATTTACAAGATGTAAATCTTGTGAAGCTGCTTCATCACTGTAACTAATTTTCTCGTTTAAAGTTCTTTATATGCTTTCACTTTTATAAATTTGCTGGAAAGATTTAATTATTACTCTGAGTAATGTACTATGAATGAATAATATATTTAAGAAAAAACGATAAAAAATAACTTGTTACGTTACACATCTACGTATATATATAATTAGTAAATGAAGAATTACACAGTAGTACTTTTAATTAATATATATATATATATATATATATATATATATATGTAATTATCATAAACCAGCTTCAAAAATATATACGTTGTATGCATATATCCATACGAAAAAAAACTACAAAAATATGAAAAATAAGCTACTGGTATAATAATAATAATAGTTCTTCAATAATATATTATTGAAGATAATTATTGTTATATCAATTTTGTTCATATACCCAGTAAGAAATGATTAGTCAAATGTGGTCATCGATTCGACTATTATTTCTCATTGGGTATATTTTTGTAGTTTTTTTTCGTACAAGTATACTTATATGCACAATAGTAGTATAATATATATATGCAGCAATAAATGCAAAATGCAATTCAGGGAATAAAACACGTGTTTATATTTTTTAAATAACTTTTCATAATTTTTAAACATTATATAAGTCCTATAAAAAATACAGTGTGACTTAAAATAAAGGATTGAATCCAGAGATTAATAAAATTATTAAAAATTCTTAATATTTTTTAATTATTATTTATATAGCCAGACATTTATTTACTATTAAATTTCTATGAAGAATACTGATAAATAAAAAGAACTTTTTTATCGATTAAAAAAATATATATATTTCAATATTGAAAAAAAAGCGAATTTAAAGAAAATTATGTTGCAGACGCAAACATATTTTTATGAGAATTATTTTTATAAGAGCGCCTGAAAAATGATAATTTCTCGACATATTTTATAAGATATTTTTTTTCTAGTCACGGTTCGTTTAATGTCGCCATCTATATCCGTTCGGAGGCTTCGTGGAATTAAATAGTCAATTCCTTTTTTAACACTGTCGATAAAATCATCACTTGAGGTGTGTGTCTATTCTATATTCGGAAATTGAAACATGTGTACGATGGATTTAAATGTATACTTTCATTAGCGTGTAATTATTTTTCGTTTATAAGTAGCTTTCGTTTTTTTGTTTTTTTTTTACTTCAAGATGGACTTGTATACTGAAGACAAAGATGAGGATGTGCAGATTGAAACAATTGGTAATTGCTTTAATTATTTATCTCCACCTATACTTAGGTTAGGATGTGTCAACTAATTAAATGTTTACTATTGATTGCCTAGATTAATTAATTAAATTTAGAGTGACAGTTCATTAAGTCTTTTCAGATTATCGTCTTATCTATAATATAAATTAATCAATCGTGTGGATTATATTCCCAGTAAGCAAAAAAGTATTGCTACAACGTTATTTTTGTTGGCAAGTATATAGTTTTTAACATTGTATGCAACATCATTATGAACAAACTTTGACATCGATTTAGAGGTTTCGGTAATGTTGAAATTAACGTTTTTAAAATATTTTATTAATATTTTGAGCAATATATGTTATTAAATAATATTTTTAAAACATTTATAAAACATCAGTTAAAATATTTTTTTAGAATATTTATTAATAATATTTTAGACATATATTTATATATATAAAACATTATATTATAACGTTTAGAAAATTTATATAAAATCAACATTATAAAATGTTGATTAAATATTTCTTACTTACTGGGTTATGAAATAGACGTAATTTACGAATCTCTTCCCAAGTAGCAAACTGACGTCATAAACGTCAAAATGATGTCATTGACATCATTTTGACATTGCATGACGTCAGCTTGCTACCTGGGTTGATATCAGTCTTATCGAGTACATCTATGATTATTTTTTCATGTTTTATATATTTTTAATCAAACAAGTGCATGAGCACATTTAATGAGAGAATAGAAAAGCAAATGTAAAACTTTAGCTAGAAAAAATATTTCTCAATTAATTGCATTGTAAACTAAACCCTTCTAATTATTCTTCTTTTTCGTTAGATACGGATCCAACAAGGATATATGATATAGATTATCTCGCCATCGAAGAGGACAAGCCAAGGAAAAAGAAATTGGCTTCCAGCAGCAAAGACTTTGATCTTGAGAAGTTTGAAATTGACATGGGTTGGAAATCTTCAAAAGTGAATTTTGATCCAACAGAAGAGTTAACGCTTTTGAGAAAGGAGGTGAATCCACTAGACAAGATCTTGAAACGAAGCGTCATCACTCCTGGCTTCGAAAAGCTGCACGTTGTACCTCCTTATGAATTGAGCAAACATCAATTGAAACTGCGTAAACAACGTGAGAAACAAAAGATGGGTGCAGGCGCAGGATGGTTTAACATGCGAGCACCTAAAGTAACTCCGGAGATTAGGCGTGATCTTGAAATATTACGAATGAGATCCTCATTGGACCCCAAACATTTCTACAAGAAAAACGACATGAAAGCATTGCCGAAACACTTCCACGTTGGCAAGGTCGTCGACTCTCCCATGGACTTCTATTCTTCGCGTCTCATAAAGAAGGAGCGCAAGAAGACGATCGTCGAAGAGCTTATGGCGGATGCGGAGTTCATGAAGTACAACAAGCGTAAATATAAGGAAGTTATTGAAGAGAAGAAAAAGACGCATTACAAGGCGCACAGGCACGCGAAGAGACTTAAAGAAAAGAAAAAAAAATAATTTACATTATAATTATATATAATATATTCCTTAAATACTTGAGAAATACAAGGAATTTTGTAACATGTTTAAAAACCTTTTATTTATATTCCCAAAACAAACAGTATATAATAACAATATACATATATAAAAATATATATATCCAAATATCAACTTCAGAAAATATATATATTAATATAAATATCTATGTTCATTATAAATATATATATATATATATATATATATATATATATATATCAAATATTAACTTTAGATGATCTTTCCGAATTTGCGACGAAATTCAGAACAGAATGTTATTTATATATGTTGTGATATAATTTTATGTAAAATATAGATAACGTTTAGAAAAAAATGCATATATATATATACAAATACATTTTAAAACACATACATTAGGATATACGGGATATAAAATTATAAATAAAATTCTGTCTTCATTTTTGTTTGTCGCGAATTAAATGGCTTATAAAAATTGAGCTTTATAGCATATGTATATGTAAGGTGACATATTGCATTGAATATTCAAGTTAATGACCGAAGCAGTGTGGAAACAGCATTTAAAGATGTTGTAAAACAATATTCAAAGCCACCCACCATATATATATATAAATAGTGAAAGTTATTGTTACGCCAGTCCTCCAGTAACTTCAATAGAGGCTCCATTTACGTAAGAACTTCTATCAGAAGCTAAAAACACGATGACCTCTGCTACTTCTTGTGGCTTTCCCAATTTTTGTAATGGTATTCTTTTTATGAACATTTCCTTAACTTTATCAGGTACAATTGCAGTCATAGGAGTGTCTATAAAACCAGGCAGTACTGCATTTACTCTGATTCCAAACCTGTAGAATATACATAATATAATTATTTTTCATATTAACAAACCTTTTAAAATTAGTCAAAATGTAAATATGACATACTGTCCAAACTCCATCGAAGCGCTCTTTGTCATAGCTATCACTCCAGCTTTTGATGCACTATAGTTACTTTGTCCAATGTTCCCACGTGTAGCAATGATTGAACTCATATTGATAATTGAAGAATCTTTGGTCGCATTTCCTTCTATCATTGCTTTGACAGCGACTTGCATAATTAGATAAGTACCCTTTAAATTAACATCGATGACATCATCAAAGTCCTTGTCACTGAGTTTCACCAAAAAGTTATCTCGCGTGATGCCTGCTGAATTAACAACAATGGTGGGTGGCTTTGAATATTGTTTTACAATATCTTTAAATGCTGTTTCCACACTGCTTCGGTCATTAACTTGAATATTCAATGCGATATGTTCACGACCTGCAATAAGAAATGCATCGTGTAGCAAAACAAATATAATTTTTATAATACAAAATTATTAGAAATTAAGAGAGTAGAGAAAAAAAAAATATAATTATAATAAGCTATATTGTAAATACAATGAAGTTAACTCTGTATTGATTGCAAAAATGTTCTCTTCTCTCCGATACAGATATATATAAACCTTCCAAAGTGGCAACAGTTTCCTGAGCAGTTTTGACATTCTGATCAGCTGCGACGACTTTTGCGCCTTCACGAGCCAAAATTCGACATACCTCTCTTCCGATGCCGCTTCCAGCACCTAGCAACGAGAAAGAACAGATAAGATTTCCCCTTATTTATACGTACATTTTAATTAAAACTTTTGCCGAGTAATGATTATTCGACAAAAATTTCCAAAAGAAAGTATGCATATACTTTCTTGAAAGAATAAATTCAAATAAACTGTTTAAATAAATAAAAAAGATCTCCACAAACCGGTGACAAGTGCCAATTTTCCAGCCAGAAGCCTCGACATTTCGCGAAAAACGCAGAAAAATTAAACGACTGGAGTGACTTGCCTAATAATTAACGCGCCGAATCGATACTACTGTTTCGAGCCGATTAACGCTTGATCATCGCATGGAAAAAAAATCGTGCTCGCTCATAGAGAGAGATATTATTCGGATGGTTCGGAAATAAGCTCCGTCTTTCTCGTTGATTCGACTGTGTTCCAGCAGCGCCCGATAAAAGCGCGGAATAACGCAAGAGCGCGTCCGGCCAATGAGAGCCGACCTTTGGCGTCGCCCTGACGACGGTGCCATATGCCGCTGACGTCAAAGCGTACCCGCAGTGACGTCAGAGAACGCGCAACGTAAGTGGTCGTGTTTATGGAAAAATTGAACTTGAATTATCGGCGAGTATATACGATACGCGATGCACACGGGTCGTTGGATAGACGGGTCAGGTGGATACGACGAGGAAATATCGCGCGTTCTCTCGATAAATCCGTAAAGTGCCCCGGCACTCGATTGGCGCGGCATCTAAATTTAAATGCGCAACCCGGTTCGCAATTAAAAAATGCAGTCTCTATTTTTTTTTTTTTTTTTTTAACACTTGCGCGTCGAAATCTCGAAAGACACCATTTCATGTGCAGCGTACTGTCGCAGCAGTCTAGTTGATTCTAATTATTATTATCATTAATATATATATTATATTAAATATAATGTATTTTAAGAATAAAATAGATTAGTATGAGAATATAAAAAGCAAAAATCGTAACTTTAATTTTCAAATGATAACAAAATATGCTCTAATAAATTTTGATCACGTGACTGATTTGCTGCTGCAGGATACTGCGTAATAAAAAGGCACTTGAAGCATTAACTGATCGTTGTTTTTTTTTTAAAGCTCTTCGTAAGGTCGGAGAGTGTCTTAAATAAATGTACAAACGGAGCTTAATATTTTCCGAACTGTCAAATTCGTCCACTGACAGTTCGTGAAATATGCGACGCAGAAATTTCCCGGGGCACGATTATCTCGCGCGCTATCTCCATTCGAACTAGCCGGTGACGGGAGGACGAGGGGGAGGGGAGGGAGAACCGGCACGCGCGCGTGATGATTGGCGGGCGGAGTGGGGGGGAGGGGGAGCGTCGTACCGTAGTTGGACGGTGCTGGCAGCACCGGCGGCGGCTCGTGTCAGTCTTGCACCGAGCGTCGACACGTAGTGACGTGACGCGTCTGAGTCCGGGGTGAAAAGTTGGGTGCGCGACGTCAAGGGCGGGTGGTCGACGGCGAGAAAGAGGAAGATCGCGAGGTCGGTTCAACGCGGTTCAGATTTGACAGGTGCGCGACTCTCCGGGAAGACAGAGAGGGAAAGAAAGTAGGACGGATCGCCGCATGCCGAGGATCATCCTTGGCGCGTCATCGCGGCGGTTCGATTCGACACGCGCGAGTAACATCGAGAAACGCGACGGAGGAAGGTGGCGACGTGCGACGACGCTGTGCTTGGTCGCGCGGCGAGACAAAGAACAGGCGCGAGAGAGAAAGAACGAGCGAACGAAAGAGAGAGAGAGAGGATAGCTCGACGAAGAGAGAAGGTGGCGTCCGAGATCGACGTATAGAGGCGCTCTCTTGCGTGCGAGCTGACAGCTCGCCGCTTCTCGCAGCTACGGGTAGCGCGTATCGAGCTACCGAGGTGTTTCGAAGCGCGGCAGCGGCGGCCCAGGATGCTGCCCGACGTAGCAAGAAGATGGCCGTGATCGGCGAACGCAGGTATCACGCGGCGGTCCGTGCGAGCGCGTACACGGAGTTGTTCTCGTGTCACAGGGTCGAGGGTCAGGCCGTTGAGACTGCTGCGGTAACGTCCCCGTTGCCGTCACCCTCGTCCTCGTCGTCGTCCTCGTCCTCGTCCTCGGCGTTGGCGCGCCGCCGTAGGCACAGGAAGAAAGGAGCAGCGGGTCATTCGCCGCCGCCGCCGCCGTCGCCGTCACCTCTGCAGCCGCCACTACCACCACTACAGCAGCAGCAGCAGCTTGAGATGTCGTCCTCGCGCGGAGGCGGCCTCGAGTCCGGCGAGTTCAGCGATCCCGACGACCTGGACACGGATCCGCTCCGTTACGAGCTGAGGAACATCCAGAGCATCATTCACGTCACCCGGCAGAACATCGATACTCTGAACAATCGCTTCGCTGGCTTGCAACACCCGCCTTCGATTTATCTGAACGAGTATCAGGAACTGACAAGTAAGTTGCATAAGCTCGAAAGCGAGGAGCAGAAGCTTAACGAGCTGCTGAATACGAGAAGAGGTTCTACTAGTGTTTCTATATCGGAGAGTGAGAACAATGCGGCCAGAGGACCGAGAACACCGGTAAAGTCCTTTAGTACTCTCAGAGCGTACCTACCTAATCAGCAACGTACAAGTGTGCAAGTGCGAGAGGGCCTTTCCTTGAGAGACGCATTGGCCAAAGCGATGAAGCTTAGAAATCTCACTACTGAGATGTGCGCAGTCTATGTTATGGGTATGGACAGCTCCAAGTACTTGATACCTTGGGACGTGGACATCTCATCGTTGGAGTGTGATGAAATATTGGTGGAGATTTTGGATAAGTTTCCTATAACCACTTCCATTTCGCACAATTTTGTGCGTAAGACATTTTTCTCCCTAGCCTTTTGCGAATGCTGCAGGAAGCTACTCTTCCAAGGATTTTATTGCAGAACATGTAATTACAGATTTCATCAGAGATGCGCCGGTGGTGTGCCTGCCCTATGTCATCAGGTACGCATGCAGGATGCTTACTACCAAGCATTACTCGCACATAATCCAGAGACTACGGCTGGAATCTTGCAACTTCCTTCTGGTTACGGATTGAGTAGAAGTATGTCTCCCTCTCTGGCTCCATCGAGAAATCAGAGGCATCCACGTTCCTTGGCCCAGCAAGATCGATCTAGCTCAGCACCTAATGTCTGCTTCAATATGGTTAAACCAGGTGGCGAACCTATTAATCTAGATGAGTACAGTAGATCTCAGAGTTTAAGTAGACCCGTTACTACTCAAAGTCCTGTGTCACCTGGCAGCAGCCCAACAAAGCATAGTCAGTCTACGCAGGCTAGTCCTACGAGTACCTTAAGGCCAAAACGACCAAGAGCAAAGTCAGCTGATGAATCTTCAAAAAATCTCTTACCGCCAAGAGAGTCCTTTGAAGATTGGGAAATTCCAGCGGATGAGATTCTAGTAGGGCCACGCATCGGATCAGGATCATTTGGAACTGTTTACAAGGCTCATTGGCATGGACCTGTCGCAGTGAAAACACTCAATGTTAAAATTCCAACGTCTGCACAATTACAAGCATTCAAAAATGAGGTGGCAGTTTTACGTAAAACTCGACATGTGAATATCTTGCTGTTTATGGGCTGCGTTAGTAAACCACAACTTGCAATTGTTACTCAATGGTGCGAAGGCTCATCTTTATATAAACACTTGCATGTATTTGAGTCTAAGTTTGAACTATTGACATTGATAGAGATTGGGAGACAAACTGCGCAAGGTATGGATTACTTGCACGCTAAGAATATCATTCATCGGGACTTGAAGAGCAACAATATATTCCTGCACGACGATCTCACTGTTAAAATTGGCGATTTTGGTCTGGCAACAGCAAAAACTCGATGGTCCAGTTCTCAACAATTTCATCAGCCGACTGGTTCCATTCTGTGGATGGCACCAGAAGTGATCAGAATGCAAGAAGAAAATCCGTATAGTTTCCAGTCTGACGGTTATGCATTTGGTGTAGTGTTGTTCGAGTTACTAGCTGGTCAACTACCGTATTCGCATATAAACAATAAAGATCAGATACTGTTTATGGTAGGACGTGGCTATTTGCGTCCTGATTTGAACAAATTACGTTCTGATACGCCGAAAGCACTGAAGAGACTCACGGAGGACTGCATTAAATTTTCGCGGGATGACCGACCAATATTTCGTCAGATCTTGACCAGTTTAGAGAGTCTTCTGCGTGGTTTACCGAAGATAACAAGATCGGCGTCCGAACCAAATCTCAACAGAACGCAGCTGCAGTCGGATGATTTTCTATATACCTGTGCTTCACCAAAAACTCCGGTGAACTTTCAATTTGGAGGATTTCCCTTTTATCCTTCCGGTGGAAATATATAAATGTATCGGCTGACACACATTATAAGTCTGATGCACTTTGCATAAGGAAGTATTTAAAATATCGAACGTAACGATATAAGCTTAACTCTATGAACAAATTACATAATTCTTTCACACTACACTTTTATTGTATTGCAAATGTTTGCTCGATGTGGAATGTGATAACATTCTCTTTGATATAAGACAAAGGTCAAGAAAATTAATCTTATATATATATATATATATATATATATATATATATATATAAAAGAAGGGGAAGAAAAAAAGAGAACGCATGTGTAGCTTTTATCTTTAGACATTTACCGTTTACAGAAATAAATTTTCATTTCATTAGGTACGATCATTCATGTATTATAAATACATACTCGTATACACACATATACAGCAGTGTACATATATACATATAAATATATATATATATATACACATATATATATTATATTATACGTGCATGCACGTCAATGTAGTGATCTGTTGATTTTGTGCGATCCTTATGAAGGATGTAAAACTAAAGTTGTAAGAGTAAAACGGCATTTTAAAGTCGTGCGGGCCGTCGCTTATCTGTGAGATAGTTTTCCAAAGGCCGAAGTGATTTTGTACTACTTCCTTGATTTTATCTCGAATATACTCACACTCATACACGCACACTTTACACACATCCCATGATTATTATGCATATATTTGACATTGGTGCAGGTTGCTTTGTATATATAAATATATATATATATATATATATATATATATATATATATATATATATATACATACACATATACATAAATATATTAACAACATGTAGATTTCCATTTAAGAAAAAGTTATATTTATAAAAGTAACACACGCACATATGCAGACACATACACAAACATATACTCATTAATGAAACTACTTTAAATAAGCCTGCTAAATTAGGGATATTGATTTAAAATGGAAATTTTTCAACACACTGCTATGTAAAACACTTATATCTTATTTGACGAATCGTTTCTGAGAATACTTTCAATTATTAATCTTATTAACACTAAAAATATGCACACAGACAGAGAATACTAATTTTATGTGTATATATTTCTTTCATTGTTTTCATAAACTTGAAAAATATTTTTTATATATTTTTTTAAATCTGTTCATTTATAATTTGTTTTATCTGGTATTTGTTTCTTTAAATTTAATGAGACATATATATATATATGTTTGACAAATGTTTATTTCAGAAAAGTTACTTTGTATTTAATAAATTTAGAAGTTAAATAATTTTGCTTTTTAAGAAAAAAAACGCATTATAAACATTATAAGCGTCAAAATATATAACTGGGAGGAAAAAAAATTTTTCGACAGATTTTTGACCTACTTGTTCTTTCATTTCATAAGATGTTGTATAGTACATATCTATTGTCCAAAAAAGAGTATATAGTTGAGCTGAAAATACTAGTTTTACAACTAGTTTTCGGTCGACATTCTCTTCTGTAAAATATTTCTGAACATCGTGGAAAGAGAGATATGATATCGTGGCCTAAGAGATAGAATATACAATCGATGGATAACATACAAGCGTAATAGGATACATGTATTAAAATTTAACAAGGCGATTAATCGTATGCGCTTTGAAAAATTCTTTTATGAAACTTTTATCATAGATACTTTTGCTCCTCTTAACTTTCTAAATAACTCGAATATTTCACACACACACACACACATCTACACACCAGTAAACTTAAGTTTTACAGTTAATTACTCGAATATGACAACGAGAGAGAGAAAGAGAGTGGCAATCTTATAATTGATATACAATCGAATATACAATTGCAAAAAATGGGCTTTCATATTACGATTTACGTTTAATCGACATAAAATAGTATCTTAAAATGTAACCCCCTAAATGCGTGCTCCTTTTTCCTACGAATATAATATACATATACAATCTTCCAAGGCTGTTGTGAACGGAGGAAGTAGCGCGAATTTCACTTCGAATCAATTCGAGTCAATCAGAATCAATCAATACATTTTTAATTAGCGATATTCTAATATTGTAATATCGTGTATCACTTTAAATCTTTATCACTTTATCTGATCAAACGTGCGTTATTGAAAGAATGCGTGGAAGGAAAATGCATTACTACGAATGCTCTTTTGTTATGTTAAGAGAGAGAGAGAGAGAACGAGAATGTGTGTGTGTGCAATATTTTATTCAAAATATAATTAATTAAATAAGATAAGTTGTGCGACATATATCATTGAAATCTCGAGTAGATATTCATGAATTAACATATCTATATCTCTCGTCCTATTGATATGTACATAATTCTTTAATCTTGCATGACCCACGGCATCGAAAAACATATTTCAGACATTAAAATGAAATTGGTTTATTAGATACAAACGAATAATTCTCAAAAAGCATGATATAGATAGCGAGAGAAAAAATATCTATATATTTTTAATAATTAATATTTTATATCGAGAGAGAGACAGATAATATATGAAATAAATTCATATATTATCACTCTTGTAAACATTTAGTAATCATTATTTTTTTCTTCTTATTATTATATATAAAATATTTATATAAGTTTTTACATGTTAACTCGCATTTAATCGTATATGTTTGTTAAAAAATTTTTGTCTCGAGAGTTTTTGTCGTATGCACCTTCCTTCTTGCGCACACAAGCGTACACATAATAAGGCCTAAGAATGAACCTTCGAAATCGAGGTAATTAGAGCGAGATTGATGATTTTTTAACCCCCGTTTTTTTATTGTCCCATGACACCCCCGATTTGTTATTTATTTATTTATGTACAATAATTCACACATTCGTGCGGCGACTTACGCGACCGTAGACAAGTGCCGAATTCGAAAAGTGTGAGAGGCATTCATTGCGAGTGAAAGAGAGAAGGAAAGTGAGAGATGAAAGGGGATGAGTGCGTGCTTAAATAATGCGAAACGTGGACATGTAATAAGCGAAGCAAGCCGGATACTGAAATTGTATATCGTGAACGCGTAATGTAAATTAAAGCAGAGTTTACGTCGTTGACAACTTTCCTATATGTAGAAGAAAACGCAATGGACTGTGACAATGAATTAATGAATATCTATCCGAAGATTAAAAGGAGGAGGAGGACATGTAAGTGTGTGGAGGAAACAGACCTGTGTCTTCCGTTGACAATTTCGCGCACCGATCTCAGATTTAATGAGAAAAAATAAATCTTCCGTTCCAAAAAAAATTTGTTCAATAAATAACACGTCTTTTTAGTTTGTTGCATTAGAATTTTCGCTATTATTTGTTGCAAGATTTATTTAAAGCTAGACCTAACGTTTACCGTCTTCCTCCGACTTTGAAGGTTTTACGTGCGCATTACTGTTAAATTTTATATAGCATCGTACAATTCTTTTGTCGAGATACACTTCTCCACATCGCTTCGATATCACATCGAGTGTGCGAAAAATTCGTACGAGAATGCGATATCGGAATTTCTTTCCTCGTCGAAGGTGCGCGAGCCACGTGAGAAAGCAGATCCAACGTATTGCGATTGCCTAACACGTGTTTCGAATACAAACGACGTATCGAAGACATTGCTTATTTTCTTAAGTCGCGATCGTGGAACGAGACTTCGTCTTCGCGAGAGGAGAGAAAATAGTCATCGATAATAATCGACGATTTTTGAGCAATCTCTTGAGCGCGGATCTGCTTTCTTCGAAGTCTCCGTCATTGGTTTTCCAATTTGACGTATGCGGAATGTGTACACTAAAAAAATTGTTAACTTGACTAAGCCTTTTATATTATTATTCTGCTAATTGAACATATATTGGTATTTAAGTCAAGTATACGTTTTGTTAGATTTAATATGTCATATTTAATTTAAATATCTTTATATACCCCTTTAAGGACCGGTTGTTTCAACTCCATGGTAAGGCTATCTATTTGGCAAAACTTATCAAGAAGTTGGAAAAATCGGCCCTAATTAACAAAATAATATCTAGTTGAAAGGTTTAGTCAAGTTAATAAATTTTTCTTTCAGTATATAGTGATTTTTTTTGTCCCGTCAATAGGGACTTTGGCTTCCTTTCACTGACAATGAGAATTGTAAATCGACAATCTGCGTTGACCGACACATTTTCGCGCTCTGTTCCTTTCTCGATTATAATAATTCTCTTACCTATGTCACGTGGACAGAGATAAAGGATTTAGTTAACGGGATTTGGCGTTAACCGATCTTAGCGAAAACCGGCTCCCAAATTGTATCGATATACATAGTTTGCATTAAAGAGACTCGGACTCGCGTACTATATAGTAAGAAAAAGGTAATTGAAATGGAATTGAGAGAGTGGAATTAAAGGACGGTCATTTCTACACGTTCATTCGATTCAAATTTTATAAATCTTGAAGCGAAACAATCCAATTTTAAAGTGATCGACATCCTTTCCGGATAAGTCGGATCCTTAAAGCGCAACAAAAGGATCGATTTAAGATTTGATTTGAAATATTTTTTCTTCCCGTTGATTTGAGAAATTGATTAAATTTTTTTAACTCGCTGTATTATATACATCAACGGTATCATTAAAGCGGCTTCCTTTCTTATATAACGAGAGATAGAGAAGGTATGGGACAAATTGTGGAAATCACTATCTAGCTTTGAAGCATCTAGGAATGCCAATATTTCGCGCGGAATAAATTCCTAATTGATTCTTTTCGATGGCGCCTTCTTACACGAGAGAGATCGAGAGTGCGCGGTGTTCTTCCTCTTGGAACACTCACTTCCGTCTGCGATATAGAGACGGCGCGAAAAAAAATACTTAAGTCAGCGCGCTATACATGTATTATACAGGCGAGTAAACACGCGTTTTTGTCAAAAAAAAAAAAATGACATTTTTCGATCGCTTTGTCCCGAGATCTCGCGCGCGCGCGACTTCATCGGATGCTCGATCGTAATAAGGAGATCGATCGCTGCGTTCAATCGAAAGAGAGAGACGAAACAAAAAATATATATATATATAATACACATACACACACATACAAGAAAAGGACAAAAAATAAATTTACTTTATCTTCGCGTATCTGATGCGTTTGCGAACTTTTTACTTCTCTCCAGTGAATCTTTTATCCCCGATTCCTTTCGACTTCGGATGATAATTTTTTTCTGATCAAATTTTCTTTCTCCCTCTATGCACTATCGATTTGTAAATTAGGTGAAGCAGACAAAAAGGAGAAATGTGTTTATTGAATTGTTCTTCACTTATTGTTAATTGAAAGCGGATGCACTTCGTTTCTCTCTTTTCTGAACTGATTTTAGAACGAAACAGTTCGTGACTTTGCTGCTTTAGTTAATTTGGTAATTAATTTCTTATGGCCCACGTGTGTTGACTTTAATTGTTGCCTCGGCACTATCTTGTCTTCGGGTTTTGTCGCAATAAAGAAAAATGAATCGCGCTATCAAAATGCACGATCCTTATCTCCTCGCCCGGTTAAATGTTGAATGTTCGAATTCCCATTCTATACGTTAATATTATTATCTTATTTTAATCTTTTCATGCAATTCTATGTAAATTCGTGTAATTCTATGTTAATTCTCCGTAATAAGATATGGCGAAACATTTGCGCATTCAACTGTGGAAGACTCGCTTTTGTAAAATATCAAAACTTGTTATTATTAAACGCTTCAAATGTTTTTGTTATTTAATGATAGTCACACTCTTAAAATCGCGTATTTTTCTCGATTAAGTTTCGCTCTGTGCTCCGAGAGAGGAGAAGAATAAATTTTCTGCAAAATTTCGAATATAATAATTCTAAAAGAAATTGTAATTCATAATTCTTTTAAGATAGCTTTTAAAAAGAGCAAAGAATATTCCGTAGAAACCAGTATCTTGTTTCATGTACGTCGATACTAATTATTTTTCCGATAATTGAATTTTCAGAGACATTGTTTTCAAGAAATTTACTTTCGCGAAAGACGAAGGACAAAATTCATAAATTAAACATCCGCATTTAGCGCGACATGTGCGATGAAAATTGCAAGCGAAAATTACAATACGTTCGAATTTGAATCTTCGTCGCGCCTTATACTTCGAGATCGTCTTCAATATTATCGCGGAGAAACGTTCTCTTGATATTCTATCACAAATTTAGCTAAATGTGAACAGGGGACCACTCGGTCATACATTATGCGCGTTTATTGAAAGTCCTATATAATATGCGAAATATACGCGATCCTTCGGCATCTCGAACGGACGGAAGTGAATCAATAATCCAATAGAAGAGAACGCGAACGTATAAATAGTCTGCGTAATATATAAAAGGCTAGTGTTTACGCGTTTCTAAGAAATTACGCGCCGCACAGACACGTATATATATATATATATATATATATGTCCGCGTCATCGATAATTCTGGATAAATCATTGGATGATTAAATCATTGAACTTAATTCATTCTTCGACATGCGCATACAGACTCGATCCGTTCGTCTCCAATCGTCCATTTCCTGTTTAATGCACTTATATAGCCGTGTCGAAGCAGAAAGGTACCTTGATTTATGCGTGTAATTTTAACTTTGCAATTAAATATAATTAAAGATGGATAAATTGTATTTAACAAAAATATTCAATGGATGATACTTCAATACTAATTCGAGTTTTCGTATTATTATATGCTCTATGTCAATTCCTTATTTGATCTTCTTTTAGCATTTTAGCATCTTTCTCCCTCGCCGGTTATTATATACAATATTATTTTCAATCAACTAAAAGGATGTTTTTTTTTATTATTAGATAAATAAAATTATCTCATGGGTTTTAAAAGGGATTTTAAAACGCATTAATCGTTAAATTGTGCGCTAAAATAGAACGAACAAAATTATATCATTTACGTTCAATTTTATATCATCGTTCTGCGAATATTTTATATTTTTCCATGCATGTTATTTTAAAAGTGAAAAGTGTGTTAATTTAATTTAAATATTTTTCAAACGCACAAAACACATTTCGATATATCGAGACGCAAGTTATCTCTCGTGGCAGATACCTACGATATCATTCTAAATATTCGATCGGTAGTAAAGAGCCACGTTAAAGATTCGCAGATATGTTTACAGATGGCGGAACATTCTGCGTCGACGCATTTATGGTAATTCGAATTAATTTTGCACAGATAAAAAGCATGCATGTGTAAATTAGATATTGATTTAAATTTTTTATTTTTATCCAGAAAGAAATATCGCAAGTCGTCGAGTATTAAATATAATCCCTTTAAGGGCTTTCTTCTATGTCAATCTTTATTTAAATACTGCACCTTTCTCTCGCAGCATCAAATATAGACTTTGTTCAATATATTGTTTATTTTATATCACAAAGTATCGATAAATGTTTTCTTAATGTAATTTTAAATCGTCGAGTCGATGATACATATTAAAATAATTCTCAAATTGCAATATCTGATTGAGGCTACAAAATCAGGTGAGAAACTTGTAAATAAAATCACATTATTGCTTGGAAAATATTGAATCTGAAAGTTGCTTCTTTTCCAACTGTACATTGATGTATTATATTATACAGCCTCTTTTGAACATCATGACTTAAACAGACATGTAATACATGTATATTATGTAATATACAGGCATGCAATATATGTATAATATTCAGTTGCACGCGACTTGTCCGGAAATCAGGTTCGTTGCGAGAATATCAAATCAAGTTTCTACGCAGGAAGGAATATGTAAAGGGAGCGAAAGTAATTTTATTTATTATGGTATAAGAGAGAAATATGATTGTACTTTTAAAAGAGAAATATTTATTATTCGCTTGAAGAACAAAAGTAGGTAACTATATAGTTAAAGCTTTTTTAAACGTTTATTCCTTTGTTTAAAATTTCCTCTATTTAAATTTAAAAACCGCAGTACAATATAAATATACATACATATAATAGCGATTCCAAGGCTATTCTTAAATGTGCGTATTATTATCTCATATATATACTGACTACATTTTTTTGCACATTTAATTGCAAGTTTGAAAGCTTGTTTATTCAAAGCAATTATAAATTAAAACGCTTCACGCGTTTCGTAATGTTATGTAAGACAGCTATTTTTACAAAAATATTTGAAATTATATTTATATATGCATGATTATTTGTATATTTATATTATTATCTATAGTATATATGACATATTTGAAATTACATTATTTGACAGGTACATTGTATATTCACGTACATATTGTATATACTTTTTTCATTTTTATTGAAAAAAAGATGTTCTTATTTAAAAGAGAAGAGCTATAAATATATTTTTACAAAAATATTTGAAATGACATGAAAATTTGACAGGTATCGTATATTCACGCGCATATATACTTTTTCAATTTTTCTTTAAACAAAGATGTTCTTATTTAAAAGAAAAAGTGTGTGCGAGAATGTGTAAAATTGTTGGTTTAACGGCCCTGGGGTTTCAACCCCGTGGTCGAATGTTTATACTGGATGCGCGGCCGAGCGGCGCGGCGCGACCCAGCGCGCATGCGCGGCTCCAGCTGGCGTCTCAGCCGGTCTGACGGTAGTCGATGTCGGAGTCTCGGGAAGGTGGGATCGTTTTCGCGCGCTCGCCGCCCTTTCACACCCCGTTCATCGTGTGTACGTACACTTGACGCACGCGTATATACATACGTGAGGCAGAGTTATCACAGAGTGAGATTATCTGCAAGTGGGTGACAACGATAAAAGCAGCGAGGGTCCGTCCGGAGGTGCGCGAGGTTAGTTTAATTACTTATTGGAGTAAGAAAATTCGGCGCGCCGATGACGCGTCGCGTCGTATGTACCATCTTTCTCGCTCTCCTTTCCTCTCTCTCTTTTTCTCTCGAGGGGAACGACATCGCGCGCGCTCGATGATATCGCTATCGCGAGCGTAGCCGGTGAACCGCCTGCCTTCCTCTCCCTTCCTGCGGTTGACCGAAATATCCAGACTCGATAGCGCCTACGGGAACGCGCGACGAAATCTCGCCGAGTGTGTTCGCCGTTACCTTATTAAGCGGCGTTAGCATGCTTGGAAAGTCGCTCGTTTGTAGCCGAGTTTGTAGACGGAACTGGATATCGAAACAGAAGGGTCTGACAATGACAGATTGCTCGTTTTTGCATCTGTCATTTTCTCTCTCCTTCTTTTCTTTTTTTCTTTCTCTTCTCGATTCTGTATAGTAGCGAGGAATGCTATAATGTTTTAGTTTTATTTTCGGCATTCGTCGTAATATCGGAGCGTTTTTCTCTGCCTTAAGAAGGTTTTTTTCTTTTCGGAGAAATCGATTGTGTTGGGTGTCAATTTATTTTTTTTTTATCGACTCGATGTTCTGGATCTGATCTGATAAAAATCTGTGGGGACATTTTTGTTTTTCGTTTTCTTTTTTTAGTGGAAAACCGTACGATCAACTCTCAAAAGTAATTTGACACAGAGAGGATCGATACATTCCAGAACACGAAGCGGAACCGTTAAAAGCGGGTCACATTCTTATCGGAACGATAAGAAAAACACATCGTAAAAATAATAATATTGTTATCGTTTTACTTTATTTTATATTAATTTTTTACGGCGGCGAAGAAAGTCGAATGAAGAAAAAGATTTGCTCATTATCGGAAATATATACGGTTCCTTTAGAAAGTTGTATCTAAAGCGCTCTGACGTTTCATCCACTTTATGATAAATCCGATTTTGATTGGATGACTAAAATCTATTAGTCTAGATAGACTGTTATTAACACTAACTTAATTTTACGTTAAACGCCGAGAAAGTCGATAAAATTTTTTCTACTACACTTATCAGTATTGCACAACGCAAAGGTGACATTTCAGTTTATATGATTTTATACTGAAGTAACTATTTTATAGAGTGAGTTTTGTGTTCAAAATCTTATATAAATAAATTCTTCGTACCTGCGCGAATAACCGTGAATTTACAAATGAATAATGAAACTCACAATCAGAGTTAAAATCTTACGCTTCAACAAATCTTGCAAAATATAACAATATTATGATTGAAATAGAATATAAAGGTAAAGTCAGATAGAACTCGTGCAGATAACAAAAAATGCACAATCTTTCATTTACATAACATTTTCTCGGAGATATGATGTTTGCATAAGTAAATCGATCAGATGATATTACATTGAAGATGTTTAAAAAACAATATTATATATTCATGAATTGTAAGTATAAATAAAATGTATAATTAAATATAAAATTTGTAAGATTTATATATATATATATATATCTATGTAAGCACATGAATCATAAAAATAGGTATAATAAAAAGAATTGCTTGCACGCATGAATCGTGAGTATATAATAAAATATATTTCGAAATATTTGTAAGTGTAGGCGTTAAAAAATGAATAAATGCATAAGGATGCACCGGTCAATAAAGCGAATTTTAAACGGCGATAAACTCGGTCTTTCCATCGCGAACGATTTTGCAGCTTTCAGTCTTTGCGATATGTGCGTTCCATTAAACGCCGATATGTCGTTCCGTCGTAATCAAATACGACGGCGTGCATTCCATCGTTAGATGAGAAGCGAAGACAAATAACGACGACAGCGAAAAACACGAATGCAATTTACATTCCGGTTTTTATCCGAAATGCCGCAAGCGTTATCCAGGCGCCTCCGTATTGTCATCGTCGTATTGTCTGTTTAATTTAAACGTCAAAAGTGTGAGAGAGAGAGAGAGAGAAGGGAAGTGAAAAGGGTGACTGAGGAAAATTTGACATTTGTTTAATTCAACTTTCTACGGTATTCTGCGTGCGTTAACGACATGTTTTGTTGATATCTCTCTCTGTTATCAAAAAATGTCACAAGCATTAACGAGCAGCAAAGTTTGAATAACAATGATGCATTTGTACATATGTATTTTGTTTGAATCAACCGCGTGAAATTTTTCATTACTCATTATCCGCAGATTCTTTGACGAATTTTTACTGACAATTTTTCTTGTTGAAAAGTTGACGAAATGAATCGTTTTTCGATCATTTTATCTCAATTTAAATATTAAATGTTACAGAAACATTAAATTATATTTCTGCGATAGTATTTGTATAAATGTAATAAAATCTATACTTTAAATTATATTATAATTGTATATATGTGAATTTTGTGTGGGCAAAATCTTTAATTTATATTTATTTTTAAGTTTTTATTTGAATTTTATTTCACAAAAATAAGTTTTCCATCATCCTACAACTTCATAAATTTATCTCGAATCAGAATCTATAATATCAATGAAAGCAAAAGCATGTAGATTTAAAAATTAGATTTTCTCTTTAATACATATATTCCGGAATGATTGAAGAAACTGATTGTGAGATATAAAGAGAGAGTCGCTTTTATTGCAAATGATTTTTTAAATAAGTCACAAATAAAATTTCTATCAAACTCTAGCAAGATACCGGCATCGATAATAGCGATAATGCTTACGCATTATTGATAAAGATGACTATGCAAGTGCATTTTTTAAGAGACCTCTCTGGTTCATGTGCGAATATTCGTTTCATGAATTTTCAAAAATATCACATTTAAGAATCTTTTCTGTGACACGTTTAATTATTAAGAAATGTTAAAGAATTAGCAAAATATTAAAAAATTGAAGAATACATTGAAATGAATTTTCCACGTAACAGTAAATATAGAATTGTCCTTTATCTTAACTATATATCTTATTATTCTTTATATCTCAATCTTTATATAGAATCAGTTATTGAAGATAATCAGTATATATCAAATTACAACTATTATTCGGTTTAATGTATGAAAGCTTAAAATAAGCTATAATTAAATATGATATATTTTGTACCATTTTATATTAGAAACTTTGGTAAATATTTCTGTTATTTAGAAAATGTTTCAAATATCGTATAGTGTAATTGAACACTTTATAAAAGTTTAATCAAGAGATTTATGCGGGAGCAGTAAAATAAAAAAAAATCTTTCCATTTTAAAAATTTCCAAATTTAACAAAAAAAAAGAGACACGACACTGAATCTATATACATATACATATGCATGTACATAGTAAAATCGATTCTCTGGTCATTCATTGTGCAAGTTATTAACCATGCATGCGCGAGGCGTAGAATATTGGAAAAATTTTACGAAGAGGCTGAAAAAATCGGATTGCGAGTGAAATAAAATTGAAGCCTCCAAGACAGAATTTAGCCCGATAACGCACAGTCAAGATTAAAAATGAGGTTTCCCTCGTATCTCCCTTTCTCGTAATTAAACGTTGATTCTCGCACGTTCTCCCGAAGAGAAAAGGAGTTGCTTTTCTCTTTTCCGTTTCGCAAACGGTGGAGCTCGCTTTTCAATTTCCCTGGCAGCTGTTGCCCGCGTGTTCAACTGTGACAGTATGTGTGTGCATGTGTGCATGTGTACGTTACTATCGTTACTTGCGGCTTGGCTCCAGTCAGATCGATGAGATAACCCGGCTATCTATTTTCCTTTGCAGCGCCGAATCCGATAGTCGGGTCTGACTATTGCCGGACCGGGAAAAGTTCATCCGGACGAGGATCAAGCCGGTGCGATTTCGTCCGGATCATCGGGGATCCCGAGGCTGCTCTCCTTCACTCCACATCGTCGCCACCTACGTCGCCGTGGACGATTTATCTTCCGACGACTTCCGACAGGATCGTAAACTTTCGCAGAAGGGAAACGCTTGTCGGGAAATCCGGCGAGCCTTAATGATAATAGCGACCGTTATATCCGCCGTAGGGTTTCATCGACGAAGAATCTAGACGCGCGCTGGAAACTAATCGCTTCTGACCGGAGACGCTCTTCTTCGAGGTGTCCCTTAAATTGCAAAAGATAAATGGAGGAATTCCCGCGAATTATCGATCTCGAGCGCACAGGCTTCCCGTAAAGGCTGATTTAACGCGCGCGTGTCCCTGAAGGCAGCCCAAGATTTATTCTCGGCTACGTTATCACCAGCCGTGCGACGAGACGAATGCGCAGGAAATCGGAGAGAGAGAATGCTCGGCTGGTCGCCCTGGACATGGGATAGGTGATGATGATATCTCACTGGTGACGATGGGGCGATAAATCGAGCTCGGTAAAAATCACAAGATGGATTGGACACCTCGGATCAGGTAGCCAGGAAACGACAAAGACAGTCGTGCGGCCAGCAATCAAACGTTAAAGGGGAATCATCTTTAATAAAGGCTACATACGTTCCGCGAATCCATATCCGCTAAACTCTCCGGTCGGATCCTCCGTAAGACTGTCTCTTATTCTCCGGAACAAGTCGTTCTTTTTTTTTATTCCTTTCTCTCCTTCTCTTTCGATTTCTTTTCCTTACATGAGAAAAGATTGACTCGACTCTCTTTCTTGCGATCTTTAAGACTGTCCTATATTATTCACTCCCTGCCGTTTGTGCCACCTGTCGCCATTTATCGCGAGTAAAGACTGAAAGCTTACGTTAGGTTCGGTTCATCGGGAAATTCGCGTGGCCGACCTTTGGTCTCTCTATACTCTATCCTTCTCCTACCTTCTCCTCGAAGAAGCGATCGTTGGAGAAATTATTGTCAAAGTTCAAAAGGAATCGTTCAATAGCGCTTTCTCGTAATCGATCAATCTCGTTTTGGAAGACGCTTAGACTGATGAAAATACGAAGACTGATTTGCTATATTTGCCCCGCGAATTAATTCATCCGAACGATCGAAAATCGAACAACCAAACGGATCACACATATCTTTACGTATATACATATCCTACAAGATCCTCTCAATCCGATTAGCCCGTATAGAATCACGCGAATTTATCGGAGACTATAATCGTATGTCCCTCGCGAAACGGATTATATGCGTTCTGATGTAGGGCATGTGATATATACAGATACATGTACAGACATATGGCATATGATATATACAGATACAGAAAAGGACATGCATATGTGTGCGTGTGAATGAAGAAGATTCCGGATGTTGCCTAATGTACACGAGGGAAGTGGCGTATAGCGGAAGTCGCTCGGTGAACGGTGAACGTATAAATTGGGACGCATCGATTTTCTCTCAGGATCAACGACGACGATGACGCGAATGACGCCGGACGAGCAGTCGCGATAAAGTGATCGATCCGTGATATATTATACGGACGCGTGATATTTTGGTGACGCGAAGTGTGAGATCAGTGTTACCGCTGCGCATGAGGACGTAAGGGTGCAGGATGGGTTGTGGACAGAGCAAAATCGGCAGTATCTATCCGAAGAACAAGAAGAACAAAAGCAACAGCGCGAAGAAGAACGGCGACTCCATTCGTGAGTACAGAGACATATTTTTTACAGTTTAAAATTTATACAAATCAGATATTTATTCTTCGGTGAATTTTTATGTAATAATGATCTACTTTAAACTTATTGTTACTGCTATCTTAATATTTCGCAAAATTATCAAGTATTGTCTAATGTAATTTTTTTCGATCATAATTTTAATATTTGATAATTAATTTCAAAAATTTTTAATATGCTAAAATTTGATAAATATATGTTTTTTGTCGATATTATTTTCAAAATTTGACTAAGATTGATTAAGACGAAATTATATTAGAAGATTATATATAACTGCAAAGTTCGATGAAATCATACTTATAATAATTCGGATATCTCATTATCGGACGGTGATGTATTAAATAGGAAAAATTTTAGTCGGAAAATAGAATGCCATTATGATTTGGAAGTTCATTAAAATTTCAACTCTTTAGAGTGCAATTCGAAGCTCCTATATAATTCCGTCCACCGTGGAATATCTATCTAACGGAATCCTTTGAAGCGCTTTATACTCCCACGTTCGCTTTGCGTACTTATACGTTTCCATGTAACAAAAGACCATGCATAGTTATTTCATTTTGTTCTCTCAGGCAAAATTTTGCTCTAATGCAAAAAATTAATTATTCCATATCTATACTCTCATTTTTATTAATATATCCACTGATGTAAGTATATATATTTATTTATTTCCTTTAAAATTAATATTTCTGTGCGTTTAAATTAATCTCTATCATTTTATATGAAATATGTAAATTTAAAAGAGATTCAGATTTTATTCTCTCTCTCTCTCTTTCTTTCGACATATTGGAGTTTTTAATAGTTCCCAGTTTTTTTTAAGACGCTGAGAACGTGATATGTCTTTTAGGGAAAAATAAATTACATTTGTATTAAATAATTCGTGCGGAATGTTAAAGCTTTAAAGAATGACAAATAATATAGGTATCATATGTTTTGAACATATGTTTGACTCTCAAACAAGCAATCGATAAATTAAAATTACCTGTCAAAAAGACATTATATAATTACAGTCGCGTATTGGTTTACACTTCATCAATTATCATAATATCATTAGCTCGAATATATAAACATGTCACAAGGTGACAAAATCTTCAAAAAAGGAAAGGAAAACTTAATCTTCAACATAAGTTAATGATTGTTCGGTTATAAACGAAGCGCCATTGATAAGCCTAGTATTAAACTAAATTAACTCCACGAGATTTAAATATAGGTCGGCATTTTAGCTTATGTTAGTAGAATTTTATCGCGTGTTAATGTACACGTACGCACGCGTGTCCTCGATCGATTGTAACGCGTTGACGTACTTGAGGTAGATTAGGGGCTGGGTCAAGCGATGGGCGTGTTACCTTTTGACATCAAATTGACATTTGGGGTAGGTGCAGCAGTGATTAATTGCCCAACAATCAATGTCTCTCTCTCGCGCCCTCTCTTTCTAATGAAGTTATATTTTTTCTAAGAGAGCAAAGATGATACATGTACAGATATATATAAAGCAATGTAATTATACAATATTTTCCTTCGAAAATATAAGATGTACATATTTCCAAAAAAATTTCAGTGATTTTATATAATTATAAATTTACTAGTGATTATCTACATTCTTTTTATTAATTTTAAACAATGCATTCTATGTTAAATTAAAGACATTTAAATATTTTAATCTTTATTTGATACATAAAATAATGTTTCTTTGTTTATCAAAGTCAGTCTAACAATATCTTTTAATAATAACATATGCTACACATGTGTGCACGTGATTCCATTTTCATTTTACAGCACGTAAACTTTCTTTGTTTAATTCGCGTTATATGTCGCTAAAAATAATTTAATTCTCTGGAAAGTCGTGATAGATTTTCATAGATTTTCTCATACAGCATGTTTGTCAAAAGTTCATGATTTTTTTTTTATTAAGGATTAATCTTGTTTCAATTTCTATCTTTTGATATTAGTCGAATCTTGAAATCTAAAAAAGTTGACGGATAAAAATTATAAAAAATACAGTAACGTTTAAAATAAATTTTTTATTGTGGAAATACAATGACTATTTTTGTAAAATTCAATTGCATTTGCAATTTAAAATCCATGAAAAACATGAGTCGTAATTTATCCTAAAAAATATCGATTCAATTTTTTTGTGTTAAAAGATATTTTCAAACTAACATATGTATAATATATATAAAGAGAGAAAGCCAGAGAGCACATTTACTTGGTCATAAAATCGTCTAATTTATTACAGATCTAGATATATTTTTCTCTTTTGTACTCTTAAACAGCCGCGTGTAAATTTCGAAGAAACTGAAGAAATTTCATCATTTTTTAAAAATCCTTATATTCGATATACTATGTGCATATAGCGATGTAGATGCTACATTGTTCCCATATTATCGAAGTATATCAAAAGTAGAAATAACAGATTATGGACTGATAAGAACATAGGAGTTCTCGTTCGTCGCAGTATCGTCGCGTTGATATCATTTGACTTGTGCATCGTCAGCGCGTCCTGAGTCGTGAAATAATCCGATGCCATTCGCCGTAACTCGAGATAGTGACAATTACAGTGGCGGATTTAGGTGCAGGTATACTTGGTATGCATATTATAGTCTTCTTTTCTTTAAAAATTTGCAAGTCAGAAATATTTTTTATTCCATATACATATATATATATATACATATATGTGTATGTGTGTGTGTATGAAATTTATTGATAAATCTATTTTTGATCTATATACTTTATTTAATACAAATATCATTTAATATAAAATAAAAGATTCTATACGTAAGTATATATATATATATATATATATATATAAAATTAAACGATTAAATAATATTTATTATATTAAATGACTTGATAAATGTGTAGTGTGAAAGAATGTTCTTAAGAGATCACATTTATATTGTTAAAGAAATAATAATATAGGTTGTATTTTATTTTTACACATTTAAATGATTTATCTTTGCTTAGAAACGTGTCAAAAAAAGACTAAATTTTTTAACAAATAAATCCATATAATTTGAATCGTAAAACAAGAAATAATATATTGAACATATATTAGTATTTAACTGAAATATATATTTTGTTAGATTTATTATGTTATATTTAATTTGAAAAAATTTTTATGTTCAACTAACAAAATAATATTTTGTTGAAAGGTTTAATCAAGTTTAACAAAATTTTTTCAATGTATTTTGAGCTTTGCTATTACTTAATATGTAATTTTGCATTTTTATCTTTTGCGATAAATAACGCGGTGTAACATTTGCATCGTTTGTTATTCGTACAACTATGCAATGTATGTATATGTACATAAGATTGATGATGACATTGAAAAGTCCTGAATCCCGCAATGTTTATACTTCAATAGGTACATCACTGATGATAACGCGGAGAAACTTATCGCATGATGCGTAGAAATCTTTATTGCAGCATTACGTGCTCTCCGCGTTCCCCTTTAAGCCTGATAAATTTGTTTGCGTAATTATTCGTTCGCGTGTTTACAAAATCACGTAGAAGCGATCGGCGCCGACGAACATGCGGCGAAGAAAACATATTCGCACCATTATTTCGGAAGCGCATCTTTTCGGTGCAACCAGTTGCATTCTGAGACACTTGTGTGCAGCGATGCGATTTCTCGAGACGGGAGACGTGTCTAAGAGGGATAACAAAATGATCGAGTTAATTATCCGGAGAAGAGTCAGTCAGCCAATATATCGCGTTTGTGAAAATATAATTAAAAAGAGATTATAAATACAGGAAACATTTGGATAACAACGGGTCAATATAATCGGGAAAAATTAATTGAACGTGATATTTCTATAATTTTATATTATACATACTGAACAATAATTCATATCAATGACAAAACTCTTAATAATTATATACATGATTTAAAAAAATATATATCCTGTTGTTTTATTTATGCGATTTTTTTAATAATTAAAATATATATACGAGATATTTGTAATAGAGGTAGTAATATATAATTTTATTAACATGTTTTGTGTAAACAGAAACATGCATATATATATGTATATTTATATATACATTGTTACGCGCATTATATACATTTAATATCGGGATTTAATATCTGAGCAAATGAAAGCTAAACAGGCATATGTCCTTTAATCGCATACCGGAACGTGACTAGTTGTTTGCCGGCTACGAGCTATAAATATACATTGCGATAATATACTGATATTCGTATATCTTTAAAATGTTTTCGCTTACGTATATTCTCTGAGAGTCTTTTTTTGACCCATATTGCGTACTCTCTTTAGCATTTTCTTATCTCTCGTTTCTTTAATAAAAGACAAGTCTAAAAAAAATGACAAAGATTAATTAACTTGTCGATTTATTTCCTATTTTCGAGTCCCAATAAATACATATTTGTTTGTAAGATTTTATTAACATTTTTAGATAAATAGCATGTACAGCCACTTAAACACTATATGACACTCATATTATCATCAGAACTGTTTATATGATAAGCGTTGTTTTCATTTAAATGTTCGCTGTGCATCGTAAACATGCGTGAACTTAGTTATGTAATGTTTATATATTTTAGAAAACAGAGGAGAAAATGTAAGTATTTAGCAACAGCTACATAATATTAATTTATTTTTACTACGATGTAATATGTAAATAATATACTTACATATTTCAAAAAAACAGAAGTGTGATATTTTTTAAAAGAATATTATTAACATTATTAAATCATATATATTAAAATTAATTAATGAAAGGGTCGTATAAATTAACAAAATTAAAAAAAGGTAAATATTGTAGGCCAACTAAACGAGCAAAATTAAATAAGATCTAAACATTTATTAATAATTAAATTCTCATTCCGTTAGAGAAACAATATACAGCGTAAACGTTTCGACTGCACTACAGTCTTCTTCAGTACATAAAAATCAAATATTAAAATACAAAGTTAAATATTAAAATACAAAGTTAACGATTCTTCACTGATGAACAATGGTTGAGTAAGACGATTGGTCTGAGATTCCAAGTTTTGCGACATTTAATCATGATTATCGTTTTAACAAGTTCTTCTTCTCTAAATTTCAAGTGTGTGTTGCGAAGTCTAAATAACAAAATGATTTGAAGTACCAAATTGGTACGTCATTCTCTTCTTCTTCCAATTGATTCCTTCCTTCCAATCGATTGATCCATTCTTTTACTGGTCGACTGGTTAACTGGTTAACAAGCTTCAATGTCCATCTTTAATACTTGGCAGATAGACGTTTATCGTGCTCGTGGACGCAGAGATAAAACTGTTTCCCGTCATCGATGCCTTTCTCGCGTAGCGATTTAGAGTGTGCATCTTCGTGTGACACATCACCAAGTTTCGAATATTCGTTGTGACCAAAGAAAACAATATCGTGCTGATTTTTCTACGTCGTCTCGTGTGCGACATAGATCATTGAAGCGACGATACTATTATATGTATACGTGCACGAGATCTAAGATCGGCTGAAACGGTTAAAAAAAAACCTATCTCGAAAACATAATCTCGGTTCAAGAACAATATTTTTCCGCAGAGTGAATTTGCTCGTTGGTAACATGCCTAAAAAATTTTTTCCGAAAAAACAAATGAAAAAAATTTCTGAACAAGTGAAAAAAGTTTATCAAAATGACATCAAGAACAAGCTTAATTTATATAAGAAACTCGATATCAAGAAAAAGAAGTATTATGAAAGGAAAGTTATTCAACAAATTGAGAAATTAAGGAAAATTAGGATTCGCATCTTCATTGCATATTCATCGAGCAAGCATCCATGTTTCTTGAGCCAACAAGACCGATCTAAATCAGCACCTAATATAGTTGAGCCAGAGCCAGAAAAATTCCTAGTAATTCCGAGTACTTACAACATCGGGAATTGATGAAGAAATTGTACAAGTTCGATTCTATCTCGGCAAAGAAACTTAAAGACTTTATGATACAAGGATCTTCAGCAATGTTTCTATATCGGAAAAAGACAACGATGCAACGAGAGGTCCGAGAAAGTTGATAAAATTTGATAATGTACTGACGGTGCGTCTATTTAATACGCAAAGTGTGCAAATGCAAGAGGGGCTCTCCTTGAAAGATGCACTGGTCGAAGCCATGAAACATTGAGAACTTACCACTGAGAGGTGCGCAATCTATGTTATGAGCACGGATGGGTCCACGTATTCTATATCAAGATATCATTCGATATCTTGGGATATAGACATCTCATCGTTGAAATGTGACAAAATATTAGTGGAGATTTTGGATAAGTTCTCCATTTCCGCTTGTAACGATTTGGAATGTAATATCTGTAAGAAAGTTCATTCTACGTTTTCTTTTAAACGTCCCCGTCTCCGTATACGTTCGTTTGGTATACGACCAAGATCAAAATCAGTGGACGAATCTTCAAAGATTGTCCTAGAGCCAACGAAGCCTGAGTGTTGGAAACTTCCAACGGATCGTATTCGAGTAGGGCCACGCATCGGATCAGGATCATTTGGATCTGTATACAAGGGTAGTTACTTCGGACTTGTTGCAATAAAAATATTCAAAGTTAAAATTAATACGTTAACATGGGTACAATTACAAGTATTTAAAAATGAGTTGGACATTTTAATGAATGTTCGACATCCAAATGTTTTGCTGTTTACGGGTTATACGACAAAACCATTTGCAATTATTACAGAATGGTGCGAAGGCTCATCTTTGTATAAACATTTGTACGTATTTGAGACCAAGTTTAAATTACCGACATTGATAAAAATTGCGAAACAGACTACACAAGGCATGGGCTATTTGCACGAAAAGAACATCATTCATCGAGACTTGAAGAGCAATAATATATTCCTGCACGACGATCTCACCGTTAAAATTGGCGATTTTGGTCTAGCAACGGTCAAAACTCAATGGAGTTGTGGACAATCTTACCAGCCGATTGGTTCCACTTTATGGATGGCACCAGAGGTGATCAAGATGCAAGAAAAACAACCATATAGTTTCAAGTCTGACGTTTACGCGTTTGGTATAGTGCTGTTTGAGTTACTAGCTGGTGAACTACCATATTCGCATGTAAACAATAAAGATCAGATACTGTTTATGGTAGGAAGCGGCCGTTTACGTCCCGATTTAAACAAATTGCGATCTGATACGCCGAAGGCACTGAAGAGACTCACGGAGGACTGCATTAAATTTTCGCGAAACGAGCGACCAATATTTCGTCAAATTCTAGACAGTTTAGAGAGTATTCTTTGTGATTTACCGAAGATAATAAGATCGAAGTCCGAATCAGATTTCAATAGAACACATGTGCAGCCTGATTTTCTACGTACTTGTACTACTTCAAAAACTTTAGCGAATTTTTAATTTGGAGCAATTTTATTTTTCTGTTTTGAATATATAAATATTTCGACTGACATGTTATCTGATGCATTTTGCACGAAGGAATTATTTAAAATATCGATTATAAAACGACGTGAGCTTTATTCTATGAACTAATTACTTAATTCTTTCACACTACACATTTTTCGTAAATGTTTATTTAATTTGGAATGTGATAATGTTCTCTTTAATATATAAGTCAAGAAAAATAAGCTTTATATTTTAAATATATCATATATGTATATTTTATTGCGAAAATGTATTTAAAATACATGAATGATCGTATTTAACAAAATAAACACTTATTTTTGTAAAAATATTTTTTTTAAATAACAGCTGCATATATATATACCAGCAGACACATAGAAAGATAATATAATCATAAAATGACTATGTGAAACGAGTTTATACGTGTGTGTGAATATAGGTATTCGTGTAAAACAAAATCAAGAAAGTGATACAAAATAATTGCAGTTTTTAAAAAACTATTTCATAAAACGACAGCCTGCAAAACTCAAATGTCGTGTTACAATTCTTACAATTTAATTTAATTTTACAATTTTTTATATACAATTTACATAAATATTATATTGTATATGTACAGGCACATGTCAATATAAATACATATAATTCTCACACAGATAAACGATTAAAAATGCCTTATTACTATTATAATTTAATGTAATTTTACATTATTTTATTAGGATTGCACAAAATCAATAGATCGCATCTACATTGACATGTGCCTGTACATATACAATATAATATTTATGTAAATTGTATATAAAAAATTGTAAAATTAAATTAAATTGTAAGAATTGTAACACGACATTTGAGTTTTGCAGGCTGTCGTTTTATGAAATAGTTTTTTAAAAACTGCAATTATTTTGTATCACTTTCTTGATTTTGTTTTACACGAATACCTATATTCACACACACGTATAAACTCGTTTCACATAGTCATTTTATGATTATATTATCTTTCTGCAGTTTAATTCTTGTGCTCGATTATAATAAAATATTTAGTATTTCTTATATATCTTTAAGAACCTGTAGTATTTTTATACATATATCGATATCGATGCAGGGTTTGCTTTCTATACTGCTTTGTACACATAAATATACATATATAACAATGTATAGATTTCCATTTCAGAAAAATAGTTATGTTTAGTTACATACACACATATACATATATCTATATATAATATGTATTTTATATATATACTCAAACTGCATTAAATAAATCTGCTAAATTGTTAGAGATATTAATTTTTGAGGTGGAGAGAGTCTTTTTAATACGCTATAACATTTATATTTTATTAAAGAATTTTTACGATTAAACGTTTCAAGTAATAATAATATTAAAAATATGAAAGAGGAATCATCATCTTTCGACTTTAATCGAATAAGCTATATCTCTTCTACTCATCTGCAAGCTATATCCCTTTTCGCCGTCCTTTTTGCGTAAATGCAGCGACACAATGGATGCATCCCTTGCATCGCCAATGCATACGATACGCTCCTCGTGAGCGCATCCTCCGGTATCTTACTCATGCCATCCCGACTGAGTAAACAAGACGAATCTCTTAAGGTACTCGGGAACGATATTATCGTGCTCGATAGTAGAACGCAGACTCGCAAATCGTATAAAGTTCGTATCAAATTTACTCATTGATAATTGAAAATTCTTCGAATTTGATTAACGAGAGTAAAGTGAGATAAAAATCCTTCCTTCCAATTGGTTAAAAACTGGCTAGTCTTCAATCTCAATCTTCAATGTTAGGCTGATAAGCGTTTATCGTGCTCGTGGACGTAGATATATAAAACTGTTTCCCGTCATCGATGCCTTTCTCGCGTAGCGATTTGGAGTGTGCATCTTCGTGTGACATGCACATCACCAAGTTTCGAATATTCGTTGTGACCAAATAAAACAATATCGTGCTGATTTTTCTACGTCGTCTCGTGTGCGACATATATCATTGCAGCGACGATACTATTATATGTATACGTGCGCGAGATCCAAGATCGGCTGAAACGGTTAAAAAAAACCTATCTCGAAAACATAATCTTGGTTCGAGAACAATATTTTTCCGCAGAGTGAATTTGTCCGTTGGTAACATGCCTAGAAAAATTTTAAGAAAAATTTTTCCGAAAAAACAAATGAAAAAAATTTCTGAACAAGTGAAAAAAGTTTATCAAAATGACATCAAGAACAAGCTTGATTTATGTAAGAAACTTGATATCAAGAAAACGAAGTATTATGAAAGGAAAGTTATTCAACAAATTGAGAAATTAAGGAAAATTAGGATTCGCATCTTCATTGCATCTTCATCGAGCAAGCATCAACGTTCCTTGAGCCAACAAGACCGATCTAAATCAGTACCTAATATAGTTGAGCCAGAGCCAGAAAAAATTCCTAGTAATTCCGAGTACTTACAACATCGGGAATTGATGAATCAATTGTACAAGTTCGATTCTATCTCGGCAAAGAAACTTAAGGACTTTAATGATACAAGGATCTTCAGCAATGTTTCTATATCGGAAAAAGACAACGATGCAACGAGAGGTCCGAGAAAGTTGATAAAATTTGATAATGTACTGACGGTGTGTCTATTTAATACGCAAAGTGTGCAAATGCAAGAGGGGCTCTCCTTGAAAGATGCACTGGCCGAAGCCATGAAACATCGAGAACTTACCATTGAGAGGTGCGCAGTCTATGTTATGAGCACGGATGGGTCCACGTATTCGATATCTTGGGATGTAGACATCTCATCGTTGAAATGTGACAAAATATTAGTGGAGATTTTGGATAAGTTCTCCATTTCCGCTTGTAACGATTTGGAACGTAATATATGCAAGAAAGTTCATTCTACGTCTTCTTTTAAACGTCCCCGTCTCCGTATACGTTCGTTTGGTATACGACCAAGATCAAAATCAGTGGACGAATCTTCAAAGATTGTCCTAGAGCCAACGGAGCCTGAGTGTTGGAAACTTTCAACGGATCTTATTCTAGTAGGACCACGCATCGGATCAGGATCATTTGGATTTGTATACAAGGGTAGTTACTTCGGACTTGTTGCAATAAAAATATTCAAAGTTAAAGTTAATACGTTAACATGGGAACAATTACAAGTATTTAAAAATGAGTTGGATATTTTAATGAATGTTCGACATCCAAATGTTTTGCTGTTTACGGGTTATACGACAAAACCATTTGCAATTATTACAGAATGGTGCGAAGGCTCATCTTTGTATAAACATTTGCACGTATTTGAGACCAAGTTTAAATTACAGATATTGATAAATATTGCGAACCAGACTTCGCAAGGCATGGGCTATTTGCACGAAAAGAACATCATTCATCGAGACTTGAAGAGCAACAATATATTCCTGCACGACAATCTCACCGTTAAAATTGGCGATTTTGGTTTGTCAACGGTCAAAACTCAATGGAGTTATGGACAATCTTACCAGCCGACTGGTTCTATTTTTTGGAAGGCACCAGAGGTGATCAAGATGCAAGAAAAAAAACCATATAGTTTCAAGTCTGACGTTTACGCGTTTGGTATAGTGCTGTTTGAGTTACTAGCTGGTGAACTACCATATTCGCATATAAACAATAAAGAGCAGATATTCTATATGGTAGGAAGCGGCTGTTTACGTCCCGATTTAAACAAATTGCGTTCTGATACGCCGAAAGAACTCAAGCAACTCACGGAGAATTGCATTAAATTATTGCGGGATGAGCGACCAACATTTCCGCAAATTATGTATAGTTTAGAGAATATTCTTTTTGTCAGTGAAATGCGTTCTTTTCTACGTCCTTCTATTTCTTTTCAATCTTTGACGAATTTTTAATTTGGAGCAATTTTATTTTTCTGTTTTGAATATATAATTATTTCAGTTAACATGTTAATCTAATGCATTTTGCACGGAGGAATTATTTAAAATATCGAATATAAAACAATATAAGCTTTACTTATTCTATGAACTAATTCTTTCACACTACACATTCATTGTATTGTAAATGTATATTCAATTTAGAATGTGATAATGTTCTCTTTGATTTAAGTCAAGAAAAATAAGCTTTATATTTAAAATATATCATACATGTATATTTTATTGCGAAAATATATTTAAAATACATGAATGATCGTATTTAACAAAATAAACACTTATTTTTGTAAAAATATTTTTCTAAAATAACAGCTGCATATATATATTTATCATATATAGATTTCCATTTCAGAAAAAAAGTTATGTTTAGTAATATACATACACATGCACACACATATACATATATCTATATATAATATGTATTTTATATATATACTTAAACTACATTATAAATAAATTTGTTAAATTGCTAGAGATATTAATTTTTGAAGTGGCCAGAGACTCTTGTCAATATGCTATAAAATTTATATTTTATTAAACAAATCTGTAGGACACTCTTAATTATTTTACGATTAAATAACATTTCCAAATATAATAATATTAAAAATATGAAGAAAGATCATTTGTCTTTCGACCTTACTAAGGGAATAATGCAGGGCATATTCCTTTTCGCTATCCTTTTGCGCGAATCATTCCTCAGGACACCTTTAATTAATCATATCTTATGATTAATTCCATTTCAAGTAGAACAATATTAAAATAGTAAAAGGGGTGATTGTCTTTCGATCTTATTAAGGGAATAATGCAGGTCGTATATTTCTTTTCGTCCTCCTTGCACCGTAAGTGCACCGTGACACAATGGACTAGGCGCAGCCCTTTGCTTCTCGACGCGCAACGCTGATATAAAGGTGCCTTTTCATACGCAGCATGATGCAGCAGAGCAAATCAGTCACGTGATCAAAATTTATTCGACCATATTTCTTTGTTCTCTTATTATTTCAAGATTAAAATAATTTTGCTTTTATAGTCTCATAATAATTGATTTTATTCTTATAAAATCCATTATCCAACTAATATAATAATTATTATCATTTCCTGCCTTTGCTGTTCGTTCAATTGAACCTCATGTGAAATGGTACCTTATTAAGCACGCGTACGATATTCCGCTGGTGAATAAACGCGCGCTCGTGCCCTCCTCCGAGACGAGATATCCTACGCGCGCCGTC